CCTGTTTGGATTAAAAAAACAAATCTAGTAACAATAACAATGGTCTTTGACCAAAAAAATCAAGTCTTTTTCTCCTTTCCTATATCTTCCATCTACATAAGTTTCATATGCAATCAAGCAAGAGAAATTCAAAAGTTACCAACAACAACCACAAACCATTTTCCCATGTTTTCCTATTTATAGTAATAATGAACCTGACCCGTGACCTCAATAGGCTTATTCCCCTTCCTGTCAAGGTATATCAAAACACCAATGCCTATCTATACTGGAAACGGAGTATTTAAACATGATTTTTATTTACTAGTAAGAAAAATATACCTGTCTAAGTCAATGTTTAGCGTTTGGAAGACTCAATTCTTCAAATGATTATGAAATGGCATAAAATTAGTACAAAAAAGGTTTTTTCCCTCCCTTCATTTACATGAAATAATTCCTGTTTCCACTACTGATTAAGCTTAGCAAATCAAAATAGGCTACTATCAATTACTTTTACATTAAAACAATTAATTTATACAAATAAAACAAATGTTATTATAAAAAAGAGAGGTGAAAGATACCAAAGGGACATTCAAACTCATAAGTCGAAAATAAACTGACAACGCCATGGCTAAAAAAGAAAAAGACAAACAATAGTACACAAAACACAACATAGAAAACGAAAGACTGAGCAACACCATCCTCACCAAAAACTGGGGGTGATCTCAGGTGCTCCGGAAGGTTAAGCAGATCCTGCTCCACATGTGGCACCCGTCGTGTTGCTCATGTATTAAAGTACAAACCCGGTAATAAGTCTTATTCTGTAGGTCACATTAGGGGAAAAGGGGACTGGATTGTAGTTACGACAATTGGAACAAATCAGCTATCATCTGTGAAATGGATATTCCATAATGGTCAACCAACTCGTGATGGTGTCCTTAAAATTTACAAACTTTTAAGGGAGGATTTCAACTTCACCACTTGGAACTCTTGTTTTAATAGCTTCCTAGTGAGCAGCAACCCTCTATCAAGGAAATCATGATAGGAAATACAAGCCCTGGAATATCTTATCAACTGGGAGATATAAACTCTGTATGCAGGCGCTGCTGAAATGTTGCTACACAGAAATGGAAAGTTCATAATTTGGAAGCTGAAATCATCTCTTTTGTCTTTTGTTTTCAACCGGCCCTCAATTTCTAGATGTAAGTCAAGATATGAGGCAGAGTTAACTGTATTTTTTGTATCCTTTTGATCAAGTTTAATGAGATAGATGCGTTCAACATAGTCACCAAATTTTGAATTATTTAGTGAAAGAACACAAACATTGTATAAAATACATGAATCTAACATTTGATGATTGGATCAAGCCAAGATTATAAAAGAGTATGATTCTCGCAGTAATATGAGAGTTTTTTAAAAGAAATAATTACACAACCATAAAAGACCATGTTTAAAATGAGAAAGGCCTACATAGCACTCAAGTAAACAAGGAAATTGAGATGTAAATTAGAACTCTTCTAAGAAGTAATTCATTTTTAGATGCGACTGTAATTTACTGATACACCACTAATTTATTCCTAAACCCCAAGGAGAGCTGAAACAATAAGTGAAGCATGCATAGCAAGAGACTCTTACCCTGTCAACACACCTGGTCTGGGTCATGTGTCCATCAGTTTTTGTTTTTAACTTTGATTTGAATCTTCTAATTTCAAAATTGGTAAACTACTGTTCCCTTTAATTTGTACATATGCATAGAGATGTCGAAGCTATGCTAAGTTTGTGACCAATACTTTTAATGTACGATTTTCTTATTTGTAAAAGACACATCTTCTAGTAAGTGTGGATAATCATGCCAAGTTTCATTAGCCAACTCCAAAGGGTTTGAAAGTTAGAGAGCAGAAATGATTTGTGATGGACTGACACACACAGGGCCTGATGAGCATGGTGAATACACTAGGCCTTCCGCCAATATCAATCAGCAGGGTCCTAATAAAAATGGAAAGCAAGGGTCATTGGACAACCACCAAATCTTGTATACCTAAACAAGAGTCATGAGTATGGTATAATTCATGGTCATTTGGACTTGTAAGAAGAACCATTCAGGGAAGGGTGTCTGATAGACTTGTTTATACAGTTACTTCTAACAAATTTTTTGAAAAATATATACAGTAACTTCTGACCAGAATAGGACAATTCATTAATTTATAATCATGCTTAGCCCATTTCAGTTTTCCAGTTGCCCCTTTTGGCAACCAATTGTGCAAACAGAACATATCAAAATCATCCCCAATATTCACAACTGGACCCCAGAAAAATTGAAATAACTGCAAGTTACTGCTAGCAGTCTACCAGATGATGGAAATCTGTATCAATTACTCCCAAACATCATATAGCGGGGTCAAATGAGTTAACAGTATGTCAGTACTTTTGATTTCTTTATAATTGTAATGACAGCATGAAGCACAAAAGATGAAGCAGCCTGTTGAAATAGTTGATTGAATAGATATAAGATGTGGTATGAGTGCCAATGAGACAACTCTCCATCCAAGTCACAATTTGTAAAAGTAAACCATTATGGTCAAAGTACGGCCTTCAACACGGAGCCTTGGCTCACACTGAACAGCAAGCTATAAAGGGCCCCAAAAATTACTAGTGTAAAACCATTCAAACAGGAAAACCAACGGTCTAGATTAGATATAAATAAACTGCTTCGCTGAGCGCAGCTGGATACGCCCGCAGAGGTCTAACCCTGAACAGTTGGGGCAAAAATGGACACAATATTCAAGCTTGATACAGGTCTGAATTTGGATTGTAATTAAATATTTGACATACATCTATCATAGGTTTCTGAATAAATGTAGTCAAAAAACTTGAAGTTGGTTATATGAATTGAATTTATATTCAATTAAAGATTTCTTGCTGTTGTGCAATACACTGTGCTGTTGCGCAATACTTAGTAAATCTGTTGTCAGACTATAAACAAATAAAATTTATAAAATTCTAAAGGGCGCTTACATCAATAGATATAAACAGTTCACCAAAGTTTCATACGAATTGCTGAAAGCATTTTTGAGTTTTTGTCTGAAAACTGGAAAATCACCCCTTTTTTAATGAATAAACCCCATAATTCGGAAATGTAAAATCTAAAATTTATAAAATTCTAAAGGGAGCTTACATCAATAGATATCAACTTTTCATCAAAGTTTCATGAGAACTGCTGAAAGCATTTTTGAGTTATTGTCCGAAAACAGGAAAATCGCCCTTTTTTTATGAATAAAACCCCATAACTCGGTAACGTAAAATCTAAAATTTATAAAAATCCAAAGGAAGCTCATGTCAATAGATATAAACAATTACGGTAACCAAAATTTCTTGCAAGTTGGTGAAAGCATTCTTGAGTTATTGTCCGAAAACCGGAAAATCCCCCTTTTTTTATACGCCCGTTTACGGGACGTATTATGGTATACTGTTGTACGTCCGTCTGTCCGTCCGTCCGTGGTCAACATGTCGGACATTAACTCAAAAACGCTTTAACCAATTTGCTTAAAACTTTGGTGAATTGTTTATATCTATTGACGTGAGCTCCCTTTCGTTTTTTATAAATTTTAGATTTTACGTTTCCGAGTTATGGGGTTTTATTCATTAAAAAAAAGCATTCTCGAGTTATTGTCCGAAAACTGGAAAATCCCCCTTTTTTTAATGAATAAAACCCCATAACTCGGAAACGTAAAATCTAAAATTTATAAAAAACGAAAGGGAGCTCACGTCAATAGATATAAACAATTCACCAAAGTTTTAAGCAAATTGGTTAAAGCGTTTTTGAGTTAATGTCCGACATGTTGACGACGGACGGACGGATGGACATACAACAGTATACCATAATACGTCCCGTAAACGGGCGTATAAAAACGAGAAACGAGAAACACTTATGAACCACATCAACAAACGACAACCACTGAACATCAGGTTCCTGACTTAGGACAGGTGCAGCCAACTTACTTATAATCTCATGTAGGTAATTTTGCAAAAAAGATATGATGACAACCTATCTACCATCAGTGCGTAACTAACTGCCTTACATGATGAAAACCTTAAACAATAAACTGTTGACACAGAGATGTGTCTCACATTTTGTAATTTTGATGGTATAATGCAAATGTTGAAATTAAAATGGCAATATCTAAATGTGTAAACTATGCAAATCATTCAAAGCCAATGAACCATGACTAAAGGTGCAGGGCCAAATAACCTCCATGGAAATATGACTAATAAGTGGTTCCCTTTAAACTTACCTAAACACAAACTTTAACTTGTAAACTATGTAAAAGTTTCAGTCAATGAACCAGGACGAGGGGGTGGGGCCATATAATCTCCATGGAAATGAGATTTGCAAATTCCAATACAACTGCATACCAAATATCACACAATCTCCATGGAAATCAGATGTGCCAATGCAGCATTGCTTATTCATATGCATACCAAATATCATTGATCTACCACTATTACTTCCCCTTAAACTGACCTAATCACAAACTATTGTAAATTCTGAAATTATTGGGAGGTTTTTATTAATGCGAATTATGCAACTGTGTGTTTATTGCAATAAGAACTTGCATTCTGATAGTTGATACATATATCTGATGAGATTTTTCATGAAATCAAAAAAATTAATCTCACATTTTTGTCAATTCTTCAAAAATTGCAATAATAAATGCACGCAATAATTTCTGAATTTACAGTAATACATGTAAACTAAGCAAAAGTTTTAAAGTCAATAGACCATGACTGAGAGGGCAGGGAAAAATAATCTCCATGAAAGCGAGATGTGCCAATGATTATACAACTGCATACCAAATATCATTAACCTACCACAAATGGTTCCCCTTCAACTGACCTAACCACAAACTAATACATGTAAACAAAGTAAAAGTCTTAAAGTCAATAGACCATGACAGGGGATTTGGCCAAATAATCTCCATGGAAATAAAATGTGCCAATGCTAATACATGTTTGTACAACTGCATACCATTAACACTGACCTACCACTACTGGTTCCCCATAAACTTGACCTACGGTAATCACAAGCAAATACTTTGTTGACGCCGCTGTTGCAGACACCTGAAACAGCACGTCTTAGTCTTGCTTTTTTCAACTTTGTCCGAAATAAAAATTGTAGGCTGTATACTAGACTTAATAATTAAATATTTTGTAATTGGTAAGAGGTTTTCTATACTGGCATGAGGTGAATATTCAGCCACATTGTTACACTTCCAAAATACATCTATAAATCATACATGTATTTGTTAAGTTGGTGTGTGTAAATCAGTTCCTGAAAACATTTGATGACATTCACAAGGATCTGCATCCAGAGGCAATTCTCTTACTTGTCTTAAAGCATGGGGCAGAATGTAGTCCACTTAAATTTCATTAAAGTCAACAAAAAAAGCAATTAATTCAATATGGACTTCCAAATTTCATAATCTATAATATACAAATATATAATCTTGTACATGTTGTATAAACATTTGAAAAACAGGTATATAAACAATGTTTTTCAAATACTGGGTATATGTATACATTTACAAAAATGTTGGAAACTCAAATTGCAAATCAATAAATAACGTAAGTTTCAATCTTATTTCCAATATGCACGGGGATTGTTCTTGAACTTATTCAAACACTGAGGTGAACAGAGAAATCCCTGTATAGGAACCTCATTTCTTCCTGCATCACCTATTGAAGTTGAAGTAGAGGTCAAGTCTTTCAAAGACACTTTATGAATATATCTGGCACTTGATTCAAAACAATATGCACCACACCAACACAATCTGGCTGAATCTAAATATCTACACAAATGTCCATGTAAATCTTCATCTGTATAAGGCACTCTGAAAAATAATGAATGAAACATTGAGACTACCTATACAGATGAATGAGAAATCAATATCTAGATCATCAGTCATGTCAGTAGGTCACTTTAAAAGAGCGTACTTACATAAATACTAAACAGTTATTAAGTAAGATGTGAATTTTATTAGAAATTTATAACGAAAAAATATACAAACTAAACTTCTTTTTCCATTGTACAATGGGTAGAGACAGACTGTTTTCAAGAGGGATGTAAGGACCTTTTGGGACTTCGGGATTGGGCCTTTATTTTTGGCGGAAATCAGGATTTACACTTATTGAGACAGGAATTAATGATTTAAATTTTGGGATTCAGAAAAGAATGCTTTATTTTATCAGAAATTCGGGATTCATCATTAAATTTTCTGGGAATTCAGGATGACATCCCCTCCTACCCCTATCTCAAGTGATTCAAGCCTCATCAATCTTGATACATTTTTTATACATAGATCTGACCGATGTGTCTAGAAAATAAAACACATGCACTATTTTTTAAAATAAAACATCACAGATACCATTAAAAAAATTTGTAAGCCAGACACGCATTTCGTCTACAAAAGACTCATCAGTAATGCTCGTTTCAAAAAAGCGAAAAAAGCCAAATAAAGTTGTTGAAGAGAATTGAGGACCTAAAATTCTCAAAGGTTTTGCCAAATTATGAAATACAGCTAGGTAATCTACTCCTGGGGTAGATAATCCTTAAATGTTACTTATATTTTGAATATAAATTTGGATAATTTAAGGTTTACATTGTTGTACAAGTTTACCTATATTTCTTGACAGATCTGGCACATGCTTCTACAAGTGATGGAACTCCAACATTGTCTTCTAAAAGAGAATCCTCAACTTCATCAGGGAAATTATTTCCAAAAAGATCAACATATTCCAACTTCAGCTGCATAAAAGATGCTGGTAAAAGTTTAATTTTGTTTTGAGAAGCTGAAAACAGCTTCAGATTTCTGAGTCTGCCTATTGTCGGAGGTAAACTTTCTAGCAAGTTGTTATTCAACTTGAGATTATACAGATTACACAACTCACATATTTGTAGAGGTAGAAGTTTAAGCTGATTGTAGCTTAAGTCTAGAATACTCAATGTCAAAATCAAATTCTTTTGTAAACAAAATCGTGGATTTACACTAGTGATAAGATTGTTGTTCAAGTATAGTTCTCCTAATGTGGTAAACTTTCCAAAATCTGTTGAAATTTCTTCAACACAGTTTTCACTTAAATTCAAAACTTGCAATTTCTTCAAATCAAATATCCTTGAATCGATTCTTTTCAATTTACAACTAGAAACTTGAAGACTAATTAATGATGACGGAAAGTTAGTGGTTAAAGGATAATCTTTTCTGGAGGTAACAATCATTTTACTTTTGGGCTTCTCCACATTTTTTGCTGATGCTGGTGCTAGAACAGATAAGGTGATGTGATCTATACTCTGGCCCTGGGCAGCTTTTTTCAGGAGGTTCAAAAAATTCTTTAACTGCAAAGGATCCGCCTAAAAAGTAATAATAGGAACTTAATTTATATATTATATTTGAATGTATGACACAACCAGATGCACCAATGAGCTGGTACCATTCCACTATGGGTAAAAGGATGTGGTCAAAAGGTATTTGTGTCAATGAGATAGCAACCTAACAACACAATAAGACATCACATGGTGAATGTCGCCTGCTTTCTTCTAACTAAATAATAATATGACAGCTTTGGAGATAAGGTTTTACTACACATGACAAGACAACTAATTCTAAAACAATGAAAACGAGGTATGATGACCCTCACAGGCAGACATGTACACTTTAATGTGATTCCATAAACCAGTTAATATTGTTGAGCTGCTAATCAAAGTAAATGAGAACCTGACCTTCACAAGAAAACTTTGGATCATCTGAATTTTACCACATTTCTTGATTTATTCTGATGCTCCAAACAATTTCTCACTTTATTTGAGTAATTATGCAACCTGTACTAGTAACATGGTCTATGAATAATTCTTAAGTGTCATGTTAAGTGTTCATATCCATCTAGCAAGAAGCACTTGATTTTTACCTCAATTTCATGGTTCAGTGTCTGAGTGAACAAATGTTTTAAAATGTGTTGACCTTAGTTTCTAAGTTACTATGACAAAAAGGTCAACATTATTTGGTCTTTAGAAATGTGTACAACAATGCACATGTTGGCCTGACAGAGCTTTCCTTATTTGTCAGACTATATTGTAAGCATAATAACTTATGTCGAATAATGAGCCTTTAAAATAAGAACAAAACAAAGAGTGCACATGCTGAAATGTCTCCCCTGTTTTACTTATCATTGAATTTATGTTGGAAGTCTGTAATTTGAAGGATTTACAAGTATCACATAGACTTAACATTATCAATGTTTAATGAAAATGAAGTAAGCAACAGATGAACCATGCCAGACTGACACCTTACAATCATTTCATCCTTCAAATATAGTGGCCCTATTGCTTAAAGTATCTGTGAAATAGACCAAACCACAAAAACTTAACATTGTCCAATGAACCATGACTTTGAGGTCAAGATCAGATGAAACCTGCCAGTGGGACATGTACACCTTCCAATCATTCCATACACCAAATATAGTTGATATAATGCTTTTTGTTATGAGAAACAGACTTGACCACTGATCCATGAAATGAGGTTGAGGTCAGGTGAACCCTACCTGATGGACATGTAGACATTGTAAGGAACCTCTATACCAAATATAGTTATCATATTACTCATAATAACTTATTATAAGTGAGTATTTTATTAGTGATAGAATACTGTAGCTTTTTTCAAGCATTCACTGTACCATGAAAACTAAAACAAGGACAATGGACATATATATGACAGATGTAAACTTCGTAACATAAGGTATCTATATACAAGGTATGAAGCATCCTGGTATTTGACCTTCTGAAATATCAAGTTTTAAACAAATAATTTACGATGCCGCCGGATTGAAATACTTAAGTCTCGCATTCTGCAACTTTCATCACAGACGAGACAATAAGGTAATCACAGTGTCAGATGGATATATATGTACACCTTAAAACAATGCCATAAACCAAACATAGCTGACCCTAGTATAAGTCATAGTAAATGAGAAACTGACTCAAAATGAAAATGGATCAAGGTCACTTGATTCCTGTTAGACAGACATTCTTCGTTCTTGTTCTTCATCCCACTCTATGAATATTCACGTATAATTACAGCTTTTTGCCACCATAGGCTGTTCCTGCGTATCGATAAACCTAAAGATCATAAAAGGTATTTTCTGAAGTTAAATATATTAACAGAGGTAATGATTTCATCAACTTATTGAGTATATTTAATGACTCTACCATTCAAAACTTGATACCTCCCTATTTTGATAACACAGAACCACCTATCATGAATACATACAAAAAACCCAGCAGAAGTTTAACTTTTAATTATACATCAGTAACATCAGACGTCAATGTAGAAAATAATACTCCTCTAACTTGAGACTGAATTGTTGAATTTGAGAAATGATCCCTTTGGCCATGTTACTACGGCAGTCAGGGATATAACTCTATAGGGTTATTATAGAAAATAACTTGCATGTGTTATTACAGATACTTTCATGAGTTGTCTTCTCTTTAATCCTTAAATTTTCTAAATCTGTAATAACATATGTTTGTTATTTGTAAAATAAATCATAAATATTTTGATTTTTAGTAGGCTCCAGGGAACTCTTGAAACTTTGCCGCAGAAACTAAATGCACAGCCTTGATAACTTATTTTTGAATTAAATTAATACATTTTTCATTAACCATGGTAAATCAATGAGACAAGGCTTTTAAGGGATAACCTTAGCTGTAATAACAAGGCTTAGTTATTAAAGGCATTTACCTTGTTATATAAGACACTTGGGAATTACTGGGAAGCTTTCGCAGAACCTCATTACATGCTCTGATTATTATTTCTTACAATAAATTAAAATACATTGTAATTAAGCATGATGAATGTCTGAGCAAATGCTTAGGAGTGATGTAGAGGAGCTGTAATAACACCCGTTAGTTATTATAGGCATATTTTTTCTGTAATAACATAGGTGTACTATGCATGATTGGCAAGCTATGAACTTTCTATAGTTAAGTATACATAAAGACAATAGTAATATCAATAGAACCTGTAGACATTTTAACAAAACTAATGATGTATATTGTCCCTTTGAAACATGTAACATACATATGTTATCACAGTTCTTTGATTTTTTAGTCCACAATAACAAATGTATGTTATTTTTCTGTAACAACCCTATAGAGTTATATCCTTGACTGTACGGGGGACCTCAATATTGTTCAAGATCGAGAGGTTAAAAACTTTTTGGAAAAAGGACCAAAATAAATGTATAAATGTTGTGGATATTCGAATATCACATTTTGAAAATAATTCAAAAATAAATAAAAGAGTACATAATACCGGTACCCCTATTTCTAGAATAAGAAACAAAATTCAAGTACTTTCAAAGTGGTATGTGTTTGTACCGGCCGACAAAGCAGCCAACAATGTGATGGTGGTATGCCGTAAATAATACACGGATGTACTTAAGAACAAGATTCTAAATTCTTCTACAAGTCTGTGCACTCCACAGAGAGTCACATAGTAAACAAACATATCATAACCACATCACAGCTTAAGGCCTCTTCTGAACATTTGAAGGTCCCTTCTATGTATTGGTTACCTTAATTACACCAAAAACCAGTAAAAGATCGTTTCATCTCGGCCTCTAGTAAGTGTTCTACAACTAATCTTTCAGTGCTTTTAACTAGTTCCTTAACTACTATCAAAGAACTTATCATTTACTTTTTGTAATAAAATCAATGAAAATAGTTGAATTAACTATTTTTGGAGTGTAAAAAAATTCTTTGGATGTTTTAGATAAATTATGTGCTTTTGATGGTCCTTTTGATTCTGTTCACAGTTTTGACTTTTCAACTCGTTACACTAAACTTCCACACAATCTTATCAAACAAAATTTTCCTTTTTAATTAACTGGTCGTTTGGTAAATCTGAATGCAAATATATTTGCTGCAACTCATTTAAAGCCTTCTTCTATAATAAGAAAGGTAAATATGCTAGATATACTTACTGGAGGTGTGATGAGATGATTGAAGCTGTTAATTTTCTCCTTGATAATATCTATGTACATTTCGGCAATAAAGTTTATCGACAGGTTGTAGGTATTCCTATGGGCACCAATTGCGCCCCTTTAATAGCTGACTTGTTCGTGTACTGTTATGAATCATAGTTTATGACCAAACTCAGTAAATTTACCCAAAGGAACTTACTCTAAATAAATCAAATATAAATGGTAATAACTGTCCTTTCCTAGATTTAGATATTTCAGTTTCAAACTGGAAACTCTACACTAAAATTTACGACAAAAGGGACAATTTTTCGTTCCCTATTGTTAATTTTCCTTTTTTGGATGGTGATCATGATGTTCCTTTGACACCATCTTATGGTGTTTTTATATCACAACTCGTTCACTATGCCAGTGTCTGTTGTGACGTTTTGGATTTCATTGAACGTATCCTTTGTATTACTGGTAAATTATTAAGTCAGGGATTTCGTTACCACAAATTACTTAAAACCTTTACTAAATTCTTCCATAGATATATAGATTTGGTTTTGAAGTTTGGTTGCTCCTGTGGAAAACTTATTTCAAATGGGATAGCACATCCTAATTTTTACGGAGATATTGTTTACCAAGCCTGGAAATTTAGAAACAATCCAGGTAAACTGATCGATCCTTTAAATAAACTTGGTTGGTGACCTTCTGCTGTTGTCTGTTCTATGGTCGGGTTGTTGTCTCTTTGACACATTCCCCATTTCCATTCTCAATTTTATTATTCTAAAAGGTTACCAATTCTACACTGTAATTACATCTTTGTTTTTATTGGTATTAATTTTGACTTTTTTATTAGTAAATTAAAATTAAAGTAAATATTATCTTTATATACATATGCATATTCATGGCTCTACAATCTGTCGATACCTGTATCTTGGCATTGCTCAAGATCATGTTTTTCTCTGACTGTTTATGACGTCTTTACACTAGATCCATTGGATGTTGGATGTGTACTGATTGATATTTCAGTGTTAGATGCATGATTTTTTTATTAGTTGTTATTGGTTTTGAACTAACTGTGAGTACTCTCATATCTGTACTTAGTGTCTTTTTGTTATGGGGATGTATAAGTACCCTGCCACGTCCACTCTGTGTTTTTGTTATTGTTTTTGCTTTGTATCTATCTGACGAGTTAAGCCTTTTTTAACTGATTTTTACAGTTTGTTCATATGTTGTACTGTTACACCACTATCCCAGGTTAGGGGGAGGGTTGGGCACCCGCTAACATGTTTAACCCCGTCACATTCTGTATGTGCCTGTCCCATAGTCAGGAGCCTGTAATTCAGTGGTTGTCGTTTGTTGCTGTATATCATATTTGTTTGCGTTCATTATTTTGTACATAAATCAGGCTGTAAGTTTTCTAGTTTGAATAGTTTTACATTTGTCAATTTGGGGCCTTTTATAGCTGACTATGCGGTATGGGCTTTGCTCATTGTTGAAGGCCATATGGTGACCTATAGTTGTTAATTTCTGTGTCATTTGGTCTCTTGTGGAGAGTTGTCTCAATGGCAGTCATACCACATCTTATCTTTATATGTACACCTTACTACCGTTTATAAACTAAATAAATTGACCACATACTTAAAAGTAAACGAGAAACTAACCTAATAGTAATAACTTATTTTGATTTAATAAGTCATTGAATTATTAAAATTTGATTACACAAAACTAGCACAATCTTTTGTAAATTTTGCTGAAAAAATTACCAAGTCTGCTAAAATGGATAACAATTCCTAAAACAATGCCATTATAGCTGGTGCACAACTTTAACATGAGTGTAATCTCTGTTAAGTACAGGTATGTTGAAAACTGCAGGAGAAGTTGATCACACAAACTAGGTTCCCATTTTTCCCTGCCCTCCCAACTGACTGACATCACCCTACTTGAAGCCAGTTTTGGACTCTGTCCACCCATCTTATATCTAGGTGTTCTGTCTTTAGGTAGATATAAATCCTTTTTTGCTCTCTCTTCACTTCAAGAATGTAATATAAAAATGATAAGATATGATAAAGCCACTTATTTGGCCCCTTATATTTGAAATCATTTCGTATTATTAATCTACCAAATAGCACCCTTCAGATGCTCATAAGACACAAGTCTGTCAGACATCAGTGTTTATATTTTTCAATTTTGTCAAGTTCACATATTCACATTAGGGCTTCAAAATTTGCATATGTAGAGCAAAACAGCAAAAACTGCCTAAATAGCCATATTTAAAGATCTTCTCATTTTATATTCAGATATGAGCAACAGCTTAACCTAATAAGATATTTCGCTACAAAATGTATTTTACAAAGATTTCATAAAATATATTTTAAGGTAAAGCTGTTGCTCATGTATATTTAGACCAAAAACTATGAGTGAAATGGCCATTTAAGGTCAAATACATTATGACACCATAGTGACATCACAGGTGATCTTTCTGCACTTTAGTGTCCAGATTAAAATAAGTAAACCTGTTCATTTATCAATAAAATTATAATAGTTTGAAAGGCTTGGATAAATTTACTATTTTTGCAATTTCAGGGACCAAAATAATACATCCTCCTTTCAAGAAAAATCAATGACAAGATTTTTTTTTCAGCATTTGTACTGGCTAGAAAATTTTCTATGACTTTATCTCACTAATAATAGCATGATTTAACAAAAGTTTATTGCATTTAACCTTCATTTTGGTAACCAACTTGGCATGTAAACTAAGTAGGGGTTTGCAAAATAAAATGGATGAAGAAGTCTTTTTTATTTTATTATGGGAAAAGTATCTAAAAGTGATTTTTTTTTTTTACCTCAAATTGAAATATCTGGAAAAGTAAGTCATGAAGATATATTTTTCCTTGCATGTTTCAGGAGTCCGAGTGCGTACCAAACTTGATTTTTTTGCCAAAATTTCAAGGAAAATTTAATAAATATAGATCTCTTATGACGGATGTGTGATAAAACTGCACGCCTAAGTCTTACTTGATAGACTTTGTCTAAGATGAGACCAAAATCGATCCTCCTGGCTAAACTCCATTATCATGTTGCCTTCATATTGCATCTCTTTTTACTACATTAATGTTTACTCTACCATACTATAAATTATCTGTATATTTTTTTAATGTCATTCTCTGTACCTTTGAAGTTGTTAGCTTTTTAGAGAATAAAGTATTGTACATGTATATCAATTTATCTATAATTCAATATCTTCCTCCCTACCTTGCTTAAGCATAAATCCTGTTCAGGTTCTTTAAAGCGAATCGTAGCTTTCCCTTCAATGAGGAATTTCCCAAAAATTTGCTGAACATTATCTTTAATCTGAAAGATAATACATGTATAATCAAATTCTATAATTGTATAATATGCACTTGTAAGGCAAATTATTACTTTTAGGTATTATATCTTAAAATTATCTGGAAGGACTTGTAGGTTGAAATAGTTTACTTCATCCAAACTCTTTAATACAAAAATTGTGACTGGCAACAATTCCTTTAACTCGAAAATGGACACCTCTTTTATCAAGCAGTCAATAACAGATTTTCTTTTAAAGTTATCTGAATGGGTAGACATTTCAGACTTAAAGAAGTAGGCCTTTTAATACTCAAAATGAATATTTTTTTAATAATTTTACAAAATTGGAACATGTACAAAATGCATATATGTTTAGACATCCAGTCTTTTTTTTCCTATGGTATATAAAATATGACCTGTTTTGAGGTATCATTAATGACAGTCGATAACAAGTAGATGTACACTGATCTCTATGCAAATTAGCTTAATAGAGTTCTATTGCCCAGTAGAAAGGTACCTAAAGTACATCTGAAATATCATAATTGTATGCATTAGCTGAATCTATATTTAGTGTTCTCTCCACTATTTGCATATCACATGGTTTCCCTAAAACTATAGCACTATATTTTCAATACATTCTATTATACAATCTTTTTTGATAGCACCATGATCTTGGAGAGAACATTCATAATATTATGTATTGAGTGTCAAATTAATGAACTTATCTAAAATTTGGGCTGGTCTCAAATGATTCAAATAACATTTTAAAAAGCATCACTGGAAAAAACCATGTTGATTTAATACTTGTTATTCATAAAAAAATTACTGCAATGCAACAAACATCCCTCAGCATGTTTATGTACAAATGTACCTTTTTAAACCCTTTTTTTTAACATTCTTATCCAGTTCCCAAATCTAGTTGATATTAAAATGCAAATGTTGAAATTAAAATGGTAACATTAAAACATGTAAACTGTGCAACTCATTCAAAATAACCTCCATGGACATGAAAAATGCCAATGCTTATAAAACTGCATACCAAATACCATTGACTTATCCAAATTAACCTTAACACAAACTTTAACTTATAAACTATGCAAAAGTGTTAAAGTCAATGAACCATGATGATAGGGCGTAGCCATATAATGTCCATGGAAATGAGACATTCAAATGCTTATACAACTGCAAAACAAATATCAGCGACTTAACATTAGTTGTTTATCTTAAACTGTTTTCTTCTCATATATGTTATGATGGTATGATACTAAACCCCTAACGGGAAGAATTGTGCCTGATATTCATATGATGAAGACATAATCTTTCAATCAGTTTAATTGAAGTCTGGAGCTGGCATGTCAGTTAACTGCTAGTAGTCTGTTGTTATTTATGTATTATTGTCATTTTGTTTATTTTCTTTGGTTACATCTTCTGACATCAGACTCGGACTTCTCTTGAACTGAATTTTAATGTGCGTATTGTTATGCGTTTACTTTTCTACATTGGCTAGAGGTATAGGGGGAGGGTTGAGATCTCATAAACATGTTTAACCCCGCCGCATTTTTGCGCCTGTCCCAAGTCAGGAGCCTCTAGCCTTTGTTAGTCTTGTATTATTTTTGATTTTAGTTTCTTGTGTACAATTTGGAGTTTAGTATGGCGTTCATTATCACTGAACTAGTACATATATTTGTTTAGGGGCCAGCTGAAGGACGCCTCCGGGTGCGGGAATTTCTCGCTGCATTGAAGACCTGTTGGTGACCTTCTGCTGTTGTCTGTTCTATGGTCGGGTTGTTGTCTCTTTGACACATTCCCCATTTCCATTCTCAATTTTATGATCTAACACAATAAAATTGAGAATGGAAATGGGGAATGTGTCAAAGAGACAACAACCCGACCACAGAACAGACAACAGCAGAAGGCCACCAACAGGTCTTCAATGCAGCGAGAAATTCCCGCACCCGGAGTCGTCCTTCAGCTGGCCCCTAAACAAATATATATACTAGTTCAGTGATAATGAACGCCATACTAAACTCCAAATTGTACACAAGAAACTAAAATTAAAAATAATACAAGACTAACAAAGGCTAGAGGCTCCTGACTTGGGACAGGCGCAAAAATGCGGCGGGGTTAAACATGTTTATGAGATCTCAACCAAACATGTATACCGGTACTATGTAAAATTTAACAAAGTCAATAGACCATGACTGAAAAGGGGGGATCCAAATAATCTCCATGAAAATGAGATATGCCAATGCTAACTCATCTGCATACCAAATACCATTGACCTACCAAATGGTTCCCTTTAAACTGACCTAATCACAAACTATAAACTAAGCAAACATTTTAAAGTCAATAGACTATGACTGAGGAAGCAGGGCCAAATAATCTTCATGGAAATAAGATGTTCCAATGCTAATACAACTGCATACTAAATGCCATGCATTGACCTACAACTATAGGTTCCCCATAAACTGACCTAATCACAATCTTATACATGTACGTAAACTAAGCAAAAGTTTCAAAGTCAATAGACTATGAGAGACCTTTTCGAGGGCAGGGCCAATTAATCTCTATGGAAATGATTAGTGCCAATGCTAATACAACTGCATACCAATTATCTCTGACCTTCTAGTGGTTCCCCATAAACTGACCTAATCACAAACTAATAAATTGTTGATGCCGCCTCTGTTGCTGCCACTGGAAACAGCAAGCTTAAATCTTGCTTTTTCAACTGTCAAAGTGAGACAAAAATGGTTGTTCAAGGGGCAATAACTCCTACAATTTGACAATTTCACCAAAAGACTATGACAGATGGATTAGGACGAAGAACAGATTAACAAAAAATGAGATGCTGTAGATACTGACCTTGAACTTTGTTCCATTACGATCTTTGGCTGTACACATCATCAAAAATAATGGAGCCTCTTTTGATCCCCCACCTGGTTTTTTACCAATAGACAACTGTGTATGCTGAGCTTTACTTGATTTTTTCATATTAGCTGATGGAAGATTCCTATTCACCACATCTACATTGCATGTTAACCGCATAGTTATTATCTGAAAAACAATTTATTACTTGACTGTAAGTGTACATTTGTACAATCATTCTGATGAGGAGGATTTCCTGTATGTAAATGTCATGTGTTATCTTCCTCCTGCTAGTGTATTTATTCCATCAGGTGTAAAAAGCTGGGGAAAAGTTATTACAGAATTTTTACACGAAGTGACTAGTGGATTTACTCCAAAAGGACAGAGTACACTGCCTTAAAAGATTCACATTTACGTATATACAGCAACAGAAAATATGGACAACATATATAATGAACATAAAATAGGAATACTTTCAAAATACATGGAAAGGCTATTGGAAAAACAAGTAAACAACTGACCTGATGCTGGCTGAAATACACATTTATTGAGAGACATTTTTATTTCAACATGTCCAAGGGTTCAAAATACTGACTACTGTAAATTCAGAAATTATTGCGATGTTTTTATTATTGCGAAAAATGCGACATGGTTATAATTGCAATAATTTAAACTCTCATTTTGAAATTTTTTATATAAATTAAACAGGATTTTTCTCAATATCGCAAAAATTAAAATCGCATTTTAGTCTAAAATGACAAAATCGCAATAATAAATGCATGCAATAATTTCTGAATTTACAGTAATATGCTTGGAGTGACAAATAAACACATATATACTGTATATATTCTTTCTAATATTAGTATAATTGTGTTACAATTCATATTGGGATACTATTAAAAAGAATATTCTATTGTTACAGTAGACAGTGACCTTGACTTTTGCCTTGTTGACCCTAAAATTGATATGCTTCTGTCCCTATCCTTTATCTTTCATCTGTTTAAGTTTCATTCTAATCAAACGAGGGGACTCAAGCTTCCATCCTGAAACCATTTTTAAATTTTTTTTCTTCTAGTTTTAGTGACTGTGAAATTTCATATTGATCCCAAATTCAATAGACTTCTCCACCTCTCTATATATTCCTTCTGTCAAGCAAGGAAACTCAAACTCCCATCTGGAAACCCATTTTTCAAAAAAAAAGTTTTTAGTAACAATGACTTATTTACCCAAAAAGCTATAGACTCCTTCCTTATATGATCCATCTGTAAAAGTTTCAGTTCAATCAAGCAAGGAACACTCAAGAAACTGTCAAAAACACATTCTTCCAATTTTTTTTCTATTTTCAATGAAAGAACCTTAGTGAGCGCGCTCACATACCCCACGTCCCCACATTGTCATTGGAGAAATAAAATAAGTGTAAGAAAAAAATATTGTATAAGAAAAAAAAATTGAATCATAATTTCCTGTCAATATGCACATCTACATAGTATGTCCTTATTATCTACACAGTTTCATGAAATTCTGTTGTGTGGTTTGAGAGGAGTTGCGATGACAAAAGGTTGCAGTAGTATATTGGGCAAATAAGTTCAAAGGGGCGTAACTCCTGGAAAAAAAATTGAATCATAATTTCCTGTCGATATGCACATCTACGTAGTATTTCCTTATTATCTGAAAAGGTTTCATGAAATTCTGTTGTGTGGTTTGAGAGGAGTTGCGATGATAAAAGGTTGCAGTAGAATATTGGGCAAATAAGTTCAAAGGGGCGTAACTCCTGGAAAAAAAATTGAATCGTAATTTCCTGTCGATATGCACATCTACATAGTATGTCCTTATTATCTACACAGTTTCATGAAATTCTGTTGTGTGGTTTGAGAGGAGTTGCGATGACAAAAGGTTGCAGTAGTATATTGGGCAAATAAGTTCAAAGGGGCATAACTCCTGGAAAAAAAATTGAATCTTAATTTCCTGTCAATATGCACATCTACGTAGTATGTCCTTATTATCTGAAAAGGTTTCATGAAATTCTGTTGTGTGGTTTGAGAGGAGTTGCGATGACAAACTGTTGCAGTAGTACATTAAAGTAAATAAGTTCAAAGGGGCGTAACTCCTAGAAAAAGAATTGAATCGTAATTTCCTGTCGATATGCACAACTACATAGTATGTCCTTCTTATCTAAAAAGGTTTCGTGAAATTCTGTTGTGTGGTTTGAGAGAAGTTGCGATGACAAGAAACAGGACTGACGGACTGACGAACGGACAGACGGAGGGACAGACGGACGGACGGGTCAAAAACATTATACCCTCCGCAACTCGTTGCGTGGGGTATAATAACCATGATAACAGTGACTTTCTTTCAAACTATTGACCTCAAACAACAATAGGCTTCTTCCTCTTACCTATATCTTCCATCTCTCATTTTGCATTTATAGTTTCATTCCAATCAACCATGGGACAGTCAATTTAGGCAGATAAAAAAATTGTTTATGGTTCCAAGAACGACCATAACATTTTTTTTCAATAAAAATTGTGTCAAATTACATTTTCACTGGTTAACTTTCTTAATGATGAAGTTCTTTTAATTCAACCGCTAGCTTAATGCTGAAAATCTGAGTCAGTATTTCAGCAAAAACTTTCAATATATGGAGCAAATGATCCTAATTAATAAAAAGAAGTGTTCGATGCATTAGCGATTATAATTGCAATGCTTTAAAGGTTGTTTTTTTTAAAGGTCTTAATTTTCACTGTAAATGCATTGAGCAGCATAATTGTGTTTACAAATGTTTTGAAGCATGTAATTGACAGTTATCGTAAAGTAATTTTTTTCAAGTAATCAATTGTAATAGATCAAAACAAAAAAGAGTGCAAAACGCTGAAATGTCTCACCTGCTTTACTTAGTACCATGATTGATTTTATGTTGATTAAAATCATTCGATTCACCAAATATAGTTAACCTATTGCTTAAAGTATCATACTCGGACTTAGAAGAGGACTAACTACTGCAACTTAATATTGATGATGATGATGGATAGCTGATAAACGACCAGTGGCATTAATATGCATATTCAGGATGAGAGCATGTTAATGTAATATGAATATTAACCCTGCTTTGTACTAGACTGACACGCTGAACCTGATTTTTAACATGCTAGTTCGCAAGGTAACAGTCAGCAGGAAGACATGTCATCTTAATGGACACATTATTCTGACTCCTAGCTGACCAGTCTTTGCATTACTTGTTAATGCTGCATGCTTAGCGGAGGAGCAGCAAATACCAATTTTAAAGTCTTTGGTTTAACCTGGCCAGGGAGGTCATACCTGCTCGACACATAGACATATACACATTACAATCATTCCATACACCAAATAATGTATAGATACAGAGAAGTGCAAATAGTATTCGGTCCCAGTGACGGCGTGTTTACCTTTGAAAACAGAATAAGCAAAGCTCAAACTCATGCTATGAATGAATGAACCAACGAAACACAACAAAGATAAAAACTTACCTTTAATACTTTGTGAGGTGTCCTTTTAGCTTGATTACATTTAATATTGAATATAGGCAGGCGTAATACGGACTCAAATACGGTAAATTTCTTGGAACAAATCGTTTTTAGATTTGATCATCCCAGTATGTGTTTGAAGTTTTCTTTTGATAAATAGCCATACGGATTCAATCATATTAAGCTCCAAGAAAACGTCAAGCTATCACTGGCCACAAATGTTCATCAAGTATTTCTTGATATTTAACGGCATTAATATTGCCCTCTACAGGAGCAAGTGTACCAACACTGTTCCAGCAAATACACCACATAATCATGACTTGGTATTTGGTTTGTGATATCCACTGTTGAACAAGGTCTGGTCTCCATCCCTCCTCTCTTTTTCTCCATACATACACACGTTGATCATGTCCAATCATAATTTTACTCTCACCCGAGAAAATTACCTTTTTCCTGTTGCCATTAACCGTCCATCACCTTTTTTCTCTGCACCATGCAAGTCTTTTTTTACAATTTACTTCCCTAATAACCACTTTCTTCTTATGAACACGCCTGTGATACCCATGCATGTTTATGTTAATGGTGCTGAAGTGTACTTTTTGAAACAGGAACACCATTTTCCTTGTTAAACATGTTAGTTATGTCACACAAGGAACTCCTACGACTTGTTTTTACTATGCTTTCGAGCTTGCAGTAGTCGCACGGTTTTACAAATAATGGTCAGCCACTTCTTGATTTATTTTCCAGAGAACCTGTGTCTAAAAAATTTACAAACAATGTCAATGACTTAGGGATTTTAAGCATGTCCCCGATTTTTCGACGGGAATACCCATTCTGGAATAATTCTATAGTCATGTTTTTCACATCCTTTGACAGTTCCTGACCTTTTCTACCCATCTTGTTATTTTACTTGTTCCAATGAAACTAAAATGGGAGACTACAACAAACATCACATGACGGTAGACCATGTGATGCATAACGCTAAAGATAAATACGTTCATCATCAGTGACGGGCAAGGTCGTTTATAACTGAGTCAGCTGTAAGAAAGTAAACACACCACCATTGTGACCGTATACTTTTGCAAGTCACTGTAGATCCAAGCATCTTTTGTTTAAATTGCTCACTTGGTAAAGTTGAGGATGAGATTCATTTTTTATTACAATGTCCACTATGATATCAAAAGAGAAGAATTTTCTAACATTTGGTATAATTTTGAAAACTTAAATCTTCCAAATTGTAATGGCTCCTGACGCAAGAAAATGTATCTCTTATAGAAAAATGGGCTGTTATATTGGTGAGTATTTTGAAGTAAAAAGATCAGGTCTGAATATTGATACTAGTAAATAATTTTATAGCGAATGCAATTTTATTATTTAATTGTGCATTCATAATCTATATGGTTGATGGCTCTGATTCAGACCACTGCTAATATACTAAATATACATGTACACTGTGATGTTTATTTGTTGTAATAATCAATTGTAAATAATTTTTATGCCCTTTATCAGTCAGGGGTACTACTTAAACAAGTGATTTCATTATCACCTATTTCAGTGATTTGATAAATTGTTATCACCTATTTAAGTGATTTTGGTGTTTCCTTTGATCTTCAAATGCTATTAAATTTCATTGATTTTCCATAATTTGACAAACTTTTCTATAATTTTCCTACATAGAACTAATTATCCCTTTCTTTTGTATATTAATTTCACAAGTGCGCTTGGACAGTAAGTTAGTGCGCTAAAGCTTTTAAAAGTACCCTTGGGAATTTTTCTATAATCAAATATTCATTAACTACTCTTACTATCAGACAAAGGTCAACAATATTAGGTAACCTGATTGGTTTTCTTTAGAGTTATAATGATCTACTTCAAGGTTATGTCCTGATCTACAAATTATTCCAGTTTTTGCATATTTTAAATAAACTGTAAAAACTGACAGGCTAATCAAGCAAAAGACAATTTCTGCATGAACATAGTTGTTTATTCAATGGAATTCTTGTCTTTTTACCAATAAAAAAGGCAAGCTTGTGGGAAAAATATCAAGAAAATGTTATAAACACTTATTGAAGTGATTACATTTTAACTTCTCAAATTACTTAACTTGTTTCAGTGATTTTAAAAAGTTTGTGTCTATTTTTGTGAAATTTTTTAATATTTCACAGCCAAAATCACTTGAAGATGTGATTCTGAAATCACTTGTTTAAGTAGTACCCCTGACTGTTTATAAGCCCAGTTATTTGGGAAATAAAAAGTTTCTATTCTATAGTTGACCCATTGTTTATAGTATAAGAAAGACAGACCAAAACACAAAATCTTAACATTGACCGATGAACCCTCAAAATGAGGTCAAGGTCAGATGAAACCTGCCAGATTGGCATGTACATCTTACAATCATTCCATACAACAAATAGAGTTGACCTACTGCTTACAGTACCTGATGATGATGGATGGCTGCTTAATGTCCAGTGGCAAATTAATATGCATATTCAGGAAGAAAATAAAACTTTTTTTTTCAAGCAGTTGCTGGACCATGAAAATGAGGTCAAGGACAACAGATATATGACAGACAGAAATTTGTAGCACATATGTATACAAGGTATGAACCTCCAGGTCTTCTACCCTCTGAAATATAAATCTTTGTTAGATTTACTTCTGCTTTGGATCGATCTGACGAGTTATAAAAATAAGAAGATGTGGTATAATTGCCAATGAGACAAAACTCAATAAGAAACCAAATGACGCAGAAATTAACAACTATAGGTCACCATACTGCCTTCAACAATGAGAAAAACCCATACCTTTCAACTGATAGTTTGTTCTTATGTTGTACTGTTACACCACTGTCCCAGGTTAGGGGAAGGGTTGGCGTGCCTTCAAACTAGTCTAACCCTGCCTATTCTGTATGTGCCTGTTCCAAGTCAGGAGCCTGTATTTCAGTGGTTGTCATTTGTTGCTGTATATCATATTTGTTTTTCGTTCATTGTTTTGTACATAAATCAGACTGTTAGTTTTCTCATTTGAATTGTTTTTCATTTGTCATTTCGGGGCCTTTTATACTGAGCTTTTATACATTGAAGCTGACTATGAGGTAAGGGTTTTACTCATTGTTGAAGGCCATACAGTGACCTATAATTGTTAATCTCTGTGTCTTTTGGTCTCTTGTGGAGAATTGTCTCATTGGCAATCAATGAATCATACCACATCTTCTTATGTTTATACTTTATACAAATAGTTTATGCCACTGCCAGATTGTAATCCCTATGCCTTGTTTTCTGCAACTTTTGTCGCAGGCAGGACAAAAATCAGAACTATCAATTCTTAATTTATTTATACAGGATCAGGATACACAAATATCCTTCAAGAAATAGTGATTATTAAGGTTCATCATAACAAACGGACGAAAATGGCTGTATTTACTTCTCAAAAACTACTCTGAGTACAGACTAACCTGTACAGTTGGAAAAGTTTTAAGGCCTGGCATCCACTTGATATATAAAAGTTAAATGCATATTGTGTTTCAGAAAGATAAAATCTTTTTTGGATTTTGATGGGCATTTTTTTTCGTTCCTGCAGAAGGTGTTAAAATACCTGAATTTCATTTGATACTGTCCACTCAATTACACCCTTTAGCTCACCTACAGTTGTGTAGATATCTATTGTTTGTCTATTGCCCATGCCAATCAAGGACAATCAATACAATACAATAAGTTGTTACCTGAGAGGGAGCATCTCAAAGTTGTATCCCAACTTAAGTTTATTTTTACACCTTCTGCAGGAAACGAAAAAAAATGCCCATCAAAATCCAAAAAAGATTTTATCTTTCTGAAACACAAAATGCTTTTAACTTTTACCTATATATCTAGTGGATGCCAGGCCTTAAAACTTTTCAGACTGGACAGGTTAGTCTGTACTCAGAGTAGTTTTTTAGTTGTAAATACGTACAGCCATTTTTGTCTGTTTGTTATGATGAACCTTAATCCATTACACAAATATCCTTCAATTAATTATTAATAGATTACTTTTGACAGTAATCGTGTCCATCTCTGTACAATATTGAACCAATTGATTTTGTCAGAGACATATATACACCTTTTGTTTTAATAGGTAAAGTAAACTAGAGGCTCTCAAGAGCCTGTGTCGCTCACCTGATTCTACTTTGGTTTTGGAAATCATGTTAAAATAGATTAAAATCATAACAGATACCCTAATAATGAGTGAGGCCAAATTTGGTTTAATATTGGCCCTGTAATTTAATAAAAAATCCTGGTGGCCATCTTGAACAGTAAATCAGCAACAAAGTAGCAACACTTCATCAGCACCTCATAAGAAACATTTATGCCATGTTTGGTTTCATTCCATTCAGTGCACCTCTAGAAGAAGCATTTGTATGTATTTCCAATAGGGTCTTATGTTAAAGGAAGTCTCCCAGCTGGCGGCCATTGTGGATGAAGGATCAGCTTCAAAGTAACAACACTTAGTCAGCACCTTATAAGGAACATTCATGCCATGTTTGGTTTCAATCCATTCAGTGGTTCTCTAAAAGAAGACATTTGTATGTATTGTCCATAGGGTCCTTTGTTAAACACTGTCCCCAGCTGGTGGCCATCTTGGATGATGGATCGGCTTCAAAGTAACAACACTTGGTCAGCACTTCATAAGGAACATTCATGTTTTGTTTCATTCCATTCAGTGGTTCTCTAAAAGAAGACATTCGTATGTATTTCCCATAGGGTCCTATGTTAAACTAAGTCCTCCGCTGGCAGCCATCTTGGATGATGGATCAGCTTCAAAGAAACAACACTTGGTCAGCACCTCAAAAGGGACATTCATGCCATGTTTGGTTTCATTCCATTCCGTGGTTCTTTAAAAGAAGACATTTGTATGTATTTACCATAGGGTCCTTTGTTAAACTAAGTCCCCCGCTGGCAGCCATCTTGGATGATGGATCATCTTCAAAGTAACAACACTTGGTCAGCACCTTATAAGGAACATTCATGCCATGTTTGGTTTCATTCCATTCAGTGTTTCTCTAAAAGAAGACATTTGTAAATATTTCCCATAGGGTCCTATGTTAAACTAAGTCCCCTGCAGGCAGCCATCTTGGATTATGGATCGGCTTCAAAGTTCAAAGTAACAACACTTGGTCAGCACCTAACTTACATAAGGAACATTCATGCCATGTTTGGTTTCATTCCATTCAGTGGTGATCAGTGGTTCTCTAGAAGAAGTTCAAAATGTAAAAAGTTAAGGACGACGGACGCCAAGTGATGAGAAAAGCTCACTTGGCCCTTCGGGCCAGGTGATAATGGACTATAAATTATATTTGATACTGTAGTCTATACATGTAGCTCTACATTTTTATACTTATGCAAGCAATAGGCATTTTATGTCAAAGGAAGTGCAAAATGGATAGGCTTTTAGCTAAATTAAGACTTAAAAGTGATGATTGTAAAGGATATAAGTATATTTTCCACACATGCATTACTTTAGAGATCTTCAAATAATGCGCCAACTTTGACGTTTCATCTTCCGGTTATATTCAGGCGCATTCTGCTACAAAACGAAAAGTATCACTCACTATATTTAATTTTTTTTAATTTTATTTATTAACAGCTATAAACTCAGTTAGTGTACACATACAGCAATGCAACTTACTGAATAATATCTGCTGATATGAAATATTTTATCAAGTAGATACAGTGGAATATATCGCAGGGTAATCTTATCCGGTGTCCAATCAATCTGCGTTCCACGGTCACCATAATGAGGACGATTGTGCTACAATATGTTATATTTCAATGATTTACTCTGTTGCATGTAAGTCAGGGAATTAAAAACAGAAAAGCGCACAATAATCTATTGAACGATCCTTTCAATCAGCAGAACTTTGGGTTTTTTTTGCAACTCAACTTTCTTCACAAGGTTCAATCAGTAATCACCATGTCATTATCATTCAGAAAAAGCACAGTGCGACTACTAGCACTGTCTGGGTTCTATCTGCTTTACATTGTTATCGGAGCATCTGTTTTTTCAGCAATAGAAGGACCTAGGGAAAGAGACTTGACTGTATATGTTCGTGATGTGAGGGAAAAATTTCTGAAAGACCATAGTAGATGCCTGACTGGTAATTATAATTTTTCATTAAACTCAGTGCATCTACATCTACATCTACGATTCGCTAATGTCGTCACTCCAAAAGGGAACTTTGACCCATCACTCAAGTATAAATTTAACTTTGACGTCCTCCAACATGACAAAAAACTTTCTATATAACATTTACTAACAATAGTTCCAAATTGTGCTCAAAATTTATGTTCAGGTGCAGGTTAAAAACATCATCTATCTTTTGTTTGTGTTTATTTGCCACTACAGAGAAGCTTGGTGAGTTTGGTCTTGAATTCCTCACTGCTCTCAATCTCTAATAGTTCGTCTGGTAGTTTATTCCAGTCTCTGATGGTCCTCGAAAAAAAGCTGTATTTGTAAATATCTTTGTTTGGCCTGATTTGTACATATCTATTTGTGTTAGGTTGATGGAGTCTTGAAGTTCTTCTAGGTTTTAAAATGTGCGATGGAATAGGTATAGCAACTTTTTCATGGATGGCTTTATGAAAGAGCGTTATACGTGCTATTTTTCTTCTAGTTTCTAGTGGTGTCAGTTTCAATTCTTCTACAAGAGTTGTAACTGTTCCAGGCTCTCTTGAGTAGTTGCTTTTGATAAAGCGTGCTGCACGGCGCTGGACCATCTCAATCTGGTATATATGTTTTTGTAGGTGAGGGTCCCGTGCGCTGCAAGCGTATTCAAGGTGAGGTCGGACAAGGGCAAGGTATGCTTGTTTCTTGACTTCCTCTGGACAGGATCCAACATTTCTTCGTATGAAGCCTAGTGCTCTGTTTCCTTTAGTGACTACTTTGTTAACTTGTTTGTTCCATGACATTGTGTTGGTAAGTTCAGCTCCTAGGTATGGGTTTGATGCGACTGATTCCAGGATATGTCCATTGATGTTGTAATTGAAGTTGATGGTTTGTCTGTTTTTGGTTATTGTAAGGACATAACATTTTGAAGAGTTGAATATCATTTGCCAAACTTTGGTCCATTTTACCATTTTGTCAAGATCTTCTTGTAGATGTTTGCAGTCGTCCTTTGTTGATATTGCTAGGTATAGTAAGCTATGATCTGCAAACAGGCGAATTTTTGATGTTATGTTGTTCCCTATGTCGTTTATGTATAGGAGAAACAGAAATGGTCCTAAAACTGTTCCTTGTGGTTTGCCAGATGTTACTTTAGCAGTACTTGATCTTTCCCCTTCCATTGTGACTTGTTGTTCTCTTTGTGTCAACCATGCTTCTAACCAGGCAACAGTGTTCCAGCTAGGCTGTTTTCACAGGGCGGTCCTCCCGCCCTTTCCCAAGTGCCGCCCTGTGCCTTTTTTGCAGTTTCCAGGGCGCCCTGCCTTTTTGAAGATCGATTGTATTTTATTTTGTTCTTTATAAATGTTATGATCCGCCATTACGAAATTTTACCTTGCGGCAAGTTTATGATTTTGTTTACGACCCCAAGCTAATCAACGGTTACAACAGGTGTCAATCTGTTGTTACAGATAATCCGTTTATCGGATGGGTCATAAATGATCATCTGATTCAACATTAATTCATTCAAAAAGAATCCGTCAGTCGGCATGAAGAAATGTTTATACGACTTCACAATTTGCATGTTTACCGTAGTTTCATGGAGAAAACGTAATTGACAGAAAGTTGAAAACCATAATCAACTTGTTAAAAACATCGTTTCACTTGTTTTCCGTAAAATTTTTTAGCAAATTCAGACGTATTTGTCTTTGCCTGCCCTCACTTTTGATACAAAAATAACAAAACCGACCGCCATTGTTAATCGTATTTACTTCTTCTATGTACTGTGAATAATCCTCCAAAGAACGAGCACACCCGAATAAAGAAAGATAACTCATTTTTATTCTTTCCTAGCATTGAGTTACCTACTTAAGATATTCTAAGATATGTCTACATACTTCTGGCTTTATAATTTATATGATTAGGTCTTTTGAATTATGGGAAAAGTTAAAGAGGGTGTTTGTAGCAGGGTGGGTAGGGTGCCTTGGTCATCTTTTTCTGTATTCTTTATTTTTAATACAAATTTTCACTGTTCACTATATCCTAACATTGTGCATTTACTGAGCACAGCTGCTGTATTGCCAATAAGCACAGCAGAGACAGTAAGGGTCTTTCCCAGGTATAACTTGTATGACCATAGAAACAGAATGAAGCAGGAAACCCTGCAAAACATACTGCATATAAAGCTAAACTGTGACAAGCAATGCCTTGAAAACTTGTGTGACAAGGTGGTTGACAAGTTTTTTCAGCATAAAAAGTAGACGGGTAGAGTTTTATCTGGGCTAATCATGTTGTACTTGTATATATATAACCATTGATTCAATGAATAAAGACGATGTTTGATAAATATCTTTATTAAAACATGCCCTTTTCATATAATCATATCACGCGTTAAATGCCCTTTTTATACGACCGCAAAAAAATTTTGTGGTCGTATATTGGTATGACGTTGGCGTCGTCGTCGTCGTCCGGCGTCGTCGTCCGAAGACACATTGGTTTTCGCACTCTAACTTTAGTTTAAGTGAATGGATCTTTTTGAAATTTGACCATAAGGTTAAATACCACAAAAGGAAGGTTGGGATTGATTTTGGGGGTTATGGTACCAACAGTTAAGGAATTAGGGACCAAAAAGGGGCCAAAAATAAGCATTTTCTAATTTCCAGACAATAACTGTGGAACGGTGTATGGATCTCTCTGAAATTATACTACAAGTTTCCATACCAGAAAGGGATGGTTAGGATTTGCTTTGGGGGTTATGGCTCAAACCGTTTAGGAATTAGGGGCAAAAAAGGGGGAAAAACAAGGTTGTCCTGGTTAATGGACAAATACTTTAGTACAAAACATAATTTAAAGCAGTGTAAGGGAGATAAATCAAATACATCATTGAAATTATCTCCCTTACACTGCTTTTAAATTATGTATAAAGTACTGGTTAATGAACAATAAAGATAATTTAAAACAGTGTAAGGGAGGTAATCCAAATACAACGTTTTGGTTACTTTCCTTACACTGCTTTTAAATTATGTTTAAAGAAATGCATATTTATAAAGGAAGACCAGTAAAAATATCTGCAAATGTTGCATCTTTTTTTTTTACAAAAAAATCCATATGAAAGATTTGACACTATATTTTTAATTCTATTATAAAATAGATTAAGTTAGCACTATGGTAAATTTAAATGGGTAATTATGGTTGCAAACTCCATTGGAAATTTGAATTGAGATTATGACCATATCTTGAGGGAAAGAATTTTTTGGGGGAAAAAAGGGGGGGGGGGGGATAAAAAGAAATTGTGGGGGGTCAATTTTTTCTCATTTCAGATTTCAGAAATTAAAAAGAATTATTCTTCAAATATTATTTTTTTTTCAAAATTCAAATATTGAAAAATTTCAAGAAGTAATCTTTAATTGCACAGTATGGCGCATTAGATTTGTAAAATCTTTGATCACATTTATTTATTTGTTATGCCGAATCTAACAGTGTATTTAGATTTTTAATTTTGGGTCCAGTTTTCAAATTGGTCTACATTAAGGTCCAAAGGGTCCAAAATTAAACTTTGTTTGATTTTAGCAAAAATTGAATATATGAGGTTCTTTGATATGCTGAATCTAAACATGTATTTAGATTTTTGATTTTTGGCCCAGTTTTCAAGTTGGTCCAAATTGGGGTCCAAAATTAAACTTTGTTTGATTTCAACAAAAATTGAATATATGGGGTTCATTGATATGCTGAATCTAACCATGTATTTAGATTTTTTATTTGTGGACCCCGCTATCAAATTGGTTCATATTGAGGTCAAAAGGGTCCAAAATTAAACTTTGTTTGATTTCATCAAAAATTGAATTATTGGGGTTCTTTGATATTCCAAATCTAACCGTGTATTTAGATTTTTAATTTTGGGTCCTGTTTTTTAAATTGGTCTACATTAAGGTCCAAAGGGTCCAAAATTAAACTTAGTTTGATTTTAACAAAAATTGAATTCATGGGGTTCTTTGATATGCTGAATCTAAACATGTGTTTAGATTTTTGATTATGGGCCCAGTTTTCAAGTTGGTCCAAGTTGGGGTCCAAAATTAAACTTTTTTTGATTTCAACAAAAATTGAATATATGGGGTTCTTTGATATGCTGAATCTAACCATGAATTTAGATTTTTTATTTGTGGGCCCCGCTATCAAATTGGTTCATATTGAGGTCAAAAGGGTCCAAAATTAAACTTTGTTTGATTTCATCAAAAATTGAATTATTGGGGTTCTTTGATATTCCAAATCTAACCGTGTATTTAGATTTTTAATTTTAAGTCCTGTTTTTTAAATTGGTCTACATTAAGGTCCAAAGGGTCCAAAATTAAACTTAGTTTGATTTTAGCAAAAATTGAATTCTTGGGGTTCTTTGATATGCTGAATCTAAACATGTGTTTAGATTTTTGATTATGGGCCCAGTTTTCAAGTTTGTCCAAGTTGGGGTCCAAAATTAAACTTTGTTTGATTTTAACAAAAATTGAATATTTGGGGTTCTTTGATATGCTGAATCTAACCATGTATTTTGATTTTGGACATTGGACCATAATAGGTAAATTAAAAAAATTCAAGTTCTTAGACCACATTCTTTCTGTGTCAGAAACCTATGCTGTGTCAAATATTTAATAACAATCCAAATTCAGAGCTGTATCAAGCTTGAATGTTGTGTCCATACTTGCCCCAACTGTTCAGGGTTCGACCTCTGCGGTCGTATCAAGCTGCGCCCCAGCGAAGCATTTTATTCAGGATTGGCACCCTGCCCTTTTGAAATCCTAGCTGGAACACTGAGGCAAGTATGTTTCCATCTATACTATATGATGCAAGTTTCTTAAACAAACGCTGGTGTGGTACTGTGTCGAATGCTTTACTAAAGTCTAATATAAGCATATCTACCTGTTGGTTATTGTCCAGATTTCTAGTTATGTCCTCTGCTGTGTTGACTAGTTGTGCTTGTCAAGATGGTTCATTATGTGTTTAAATATGATATGTTCCATTATTTTACATGGAACTGATGTCAAGGATACTGGGCGATAGTTGACTGGTTCACTCTTATCCCCTTTCTTGAAAAGTGTGATGACATTTGCAATTAGCCAGTCTTGTGGTACACTTTGATCTTTTAGTGTTTTGGTGAAGATTAGCTGTAAATATGGTGATATTGACTCTGCACACTCTTTCAATATTCTACATGATATATTGTCTGGACCATTTGCCTTGCTTGGGTTCACTCCCTTTAGTAGTTTGATTAACCCCTCTGTACTGATGTGTAGATTTGGTATTTTTGATGTTTCATTTTCAGTTATATTGGGGAAGCTATCAAAGTCTTCAATCGTGAATACTGATTGAAATTGTGCATTAAGTGCTTCTGCCTTTCCTTTGCTGCAGTCTATTGTTTCTCCATTAACTTCGAGTGTTGATACTCCCACTGTTTCTCTCTTTTTAGATTTTATATATTTCCAGTACTTTTTCCCTATTCTGTATTGGTCTTGTGTGTTTGTTGAAGCTTCTGATGTTGATGGCCTACTTCTAACATATAAAATATATACTTCTTATGTGATAAATCAAGTTCTGTCTTTACTGCTTTTCTATATTGCTTAAATTTATCCCAGTGCTGTTTAGTTTGGTATTTCTTTGCAACTTTATATAGTCGTTCTTTTTTACGTATCATCTTCTTGATGTGTTGATTCACCCAAGGTGCCTTAAAATATAAAAGTTCAATACTGTAGAAGGAATTAAAAAATATGACCATTTTTACACCACAAATTTACTCTGAGTACAAACAAAACTGTGCACATAGAAAAGTTTTATAGCATTGCAGGAACTAGTTATACACATTTTAAGGTTCATGTGGACCCTCTTGTCTAAAATGTCTGCGTTTTCACATCAAAATTTACTCTGAGTACAGACAAACCTGTGTATCTGGAAAAGTTGTAAGGCATAGCATGCCCTAGAAAAATAAAATTCTAATGCATTTTATGTTTTTAGAAAATTAAAAACTTAACTGGATTTTGCAGTGCACTTTTTTTCGTTTCTACAAAAGATGCCAAAATAAACAAAGTTGTGAAAGAGGTTTTGAGAACTTCCCCATATGGAATAATTAAGATTGGCATGGACAATAGATACATTGTACCTGACAATAATTGGTGATTTAATCTGTGTCACTGAGTGGACCATATCAGGTGAAACTCAACTGTTTGTTAATTTTATCATCTTCTACAAGGACAAAAAAAAGTGTACTGCAAAATCCAGTAAAGTTTATAATTTTCTAATACATAAAATGCATTTAAACTTTATTCATCTAGGGCATGCTATGCCATTAAACTTTTCTAGATACACAGATTTGTCTACATACTCGGAGTTAATTCAGATCTTTTAATCAGAGCAGGCGCCAGCAAAATAGCCACTGCCTAATATTTTTTATACGACCGCAAAAAATATTTTGGGATTGTATAATGGTATGATGTCGTCGTCCAAAGACACATTGGTTTCCGGACAATAACTTTAGTTTAAGTTGATGGATCTCTATGAAATTTTTTAAGAAGGTTCAATACCACAAAAGGAAAGTTGGGATTGATTTTGGGGATGATGGTCCCGACCGTTTAGGAATTAGGGGCCCAAAAGGGGCCCAAAACAAACATTTTTCTAGTTTCAGGATAATAACTTGTGTATAAGTATTTCGAATTGCTCTGAAATTGTACAACAATGTTTAATACCACAAGTAGAAGGTTGGGATTCATATTAGGGGTTAATGGGGCAAACAGTTTAGGAATTAAGGGCCTAAAAGGGGCCAAAAACAACAATTTTTGTAGTTTCCGGACAATAACTTGTGTGTAAGTGTATGGATCTCTCTGATATTGTACCATAAGGTTCCATATCACAAAGGGAAGACTGGGATTGAGTTTTGGGGTAATTGCCTCAAACATGTAGGAATTAGGGGCCAAAAAAGGGCCAAAAACATGCATTATTCTAGTTTCCAAACAATAACTTGTGTTAGATGTGTATGGATCTCTCTGAAATTGTACTACAAGGTTCCATACTACAAAGGAAAGAATTGGATCGAGTCTTGGGGTCATTGCTCCAAGGGTGGATTCCAAAAGTCGCAGGGGGGGGTTTCCAATTTTTCTAAGGAATTCATATTTTTTTCAAAAATTTTCAAATTTCATATTTGTAAAAGTTTCAAGAAGTAATCTTCAATTGCACAGTATTGCGCAATAGATTTGTAAGATCTTTTACCACATTTATTTTGTGTCAGAAACCTATATTATGTCAAAATTTGATCACAATCAAAATTCAGACAGTATCAAGCTTGAATATTATATCCAAATTTGCCCCAACTGTTCAGGGTTCGACCTCTGCGGTCGTATCAGGCTGCGCTCAGCGAAGCATTTTATTACATTTCAGAAAAAATGCTTATAAAAGCAAAAAAGTCAGTTGACTTGTTTTTAAATACAAATGTAAAAGTCTAATTAATCACAAGACCACTAAATGACCAATAAATTAGACCTTATCACAAGTAGATTGCTAATAAATCACATTCAACTAGATACTAGCTACATGTACAATAAATCACCTGCAAGAGATATTTAAAATTAGTACAAATAAAATAATCAATGCAACCAGTAGAAGTGGCAAAAAATCCACTCTACCACACAAATGTATGTCAGACATTGGGAAAAATGTTGAACCTTTTGGTCCTGACTGCCAAAATTTCTCAAGGTCTGTCTATTTTATGTTTGAGCCAGTCCAACTGTTTCGTACAGCAAAAAGGATCGTTGTGGTTTCTTTCATCAACTTTGGGGCACCAGGGTAGTTTGTAAAATCATTGGACACAACTAGCTGGTTTCCAGCTGTTCATTGCTTGTTTTACCTTTACTAAGTGTGGTCGGAAACTGTAACTTTGAACCAGTTGAATAAATTTTAATGATGGAATAGTAGGTTATATTCCCTGTGAATTAGCATGATTAGGCAGTACATGAAATTTGCAGGACTTGATCATGAACACCAAGAAGAATTATCTGTTCATGTTTTCCTGACTGACCACATAGTATGGTTCTGACAGTAAAACTTGAAATGAAATATGAAGTTAAAAACAAATTTTAGTATTTTTCATTTATACATGACATACAAATTTACATGTTACGATGTACATATATAAAACTCCATTAATTGTACATTTCCATTGTTTGTATTTTGTGTATTTTTCATTGTATTAAAACTATATGAATGAAAATTTAATGTATTTTTCAACAGTTGCACTAAATTAAGATATACATTGTATATCAAAATATAAGAAGATAAATCGTATGACCATTGTACTATATTAACCTGACTTATCCAACTTGTAATAAAAGATCCTTTTAATCGAGAAAATGCAGGTAGCCAAATTAGATTGTTCCAATAATGGCTATTTGACTTATATATTATGGACTCATCAGAATCAGCTGACGTCAAAAGTAATGAGTATAATGACATTTCAGGCTAATTTTGGTTTTGGAGAGACAGTATTTTGCAAGTTGTCTGATGAAATGTCCTACAGAAATTGAGTTTCACAATACGAATAAATGGAGATGTACATTTAGGTTACATGATGTATATATATAATGTAGATATGTAAATTAGACTACAACAAGGGCACAAAAAAAAGCAAAATTCTGAAAAGATAAGAATTGCTGATACATGTACATGTAACCTTATAATTAGTCAGGCAGATTGTCTTTCAGGCAAATTTTCTTTGCGGCTCAAGCTCTCATAAAGAATGTCTTACACACTATCTATATTAGGGGCTATATGTCTTAAATTATCTATATATTCATATAAATGTACATGTACTATTGCTATACACAATTGCAACAGCAAATGTTTAAATACTGTTCATTTTTTAGATGATGACTTGGAAAAGTTTCTGATTGAAATCAACAATGCTGCTCATAAAGGTGTATCGTCTACTAGAAATGTAACAATGGCAGAACCTAACTGGAGCTTTGGACAGTCAATTTTTTTCTCTGTTACAGTGCTAACAACTATAGGTATTATATTACTTTGCATAATATTTAGGCCTTGGAATCTTTTGCTATCACTTCTCCCTTCTTTGGTCATATTGGTGTTTATCATATATTTATTGCTCTAGTATTTTCATGTATCCATTATCCTTTCATTTGAATTTCTGTTTCAAATATTGGCTTTTGGTTGTTGGACATCTTCCATTCCTAATGTAAATAACATGTGTCATACTTTTAAAAGATGTTTGACTTTAACAAAAAATGGTATTTTACTTTTACTGGTAATTTTCAGTCCAATTAAATATATCAACATTCATGTCAAATTTACAATTTACTAAAATCAGGATCTTTGTATAAACTTAATAAATATCCTACATCAGAATCTTTTTGTCCAAGGCTTCACTGCTCATACTTAAACAACTGTTAGAGATTATATAATCCTGTATATTAAACATTCTTTTTAAAAAAATTTAAGAAATATACAAAATTTGCAATTTCTTGGGCTTGTGTGAAATTTTCACACACTACTATTTATATATTGTATACAAAATGTACAATATTGTTTTTATATTTTATTACCATCATGGCATGTACCTGTATATTTATCACTTACATTTATCTGTTCTTTTTATAGGTTATGGAAGAGTTACTCCCTTATCAGATGAAGGGAAAGGATTTATTATTGTTTATACCGTAATCGGTATACCTCTGACGTTGATCTTATTTAGTGCAATAGTTGAAAGACTTATGATACCAACTAAAGTATTCTTGTACTTTCTGTTTCGTAAATTAGGACACCTGTACAAAGTGTTCCATATACAACTTTTGCACCTTTTTTTCGTGATACTTGTGCTACTTGTCTTTATTTTTCTGATTCCTGCCGCCATTTACTCAACTTTGGAGCCCACATGGAACTACCTTGATGCTTTCTATTATTGTTTTATTTCCATGACAACAATAGGCCTTGGAGACTACATACCTGGAGACAACCCAGAGCAGAAATTAAGACCTCTATATAAGGTGATTACCACATGTAAGTTTGAAATTATTACTAGCTTATTGAATTTTAAATAAATATGCTTAATTTACATAAGGTAAATGTATGTAATGTGCTATTTAGAATTTATCAATAACATTTGTGACATAAAAAGTAGATGATTCATTTTAACTCTAGTTATAGATATATGCATTAAAATAATTGACAGTTCTATAGATTAGAAATTACAGTATACATTTGTACCTGGTGATGTATAAATGACTTAAAAAACATTTTCTAAAAATCATGGTTCTCCAGTAATTGCTCTTTCAAATAGGGTTCTCACTAGCAGGCAAGGGCCTCTACATTTTTGGCCTTGGGAGTTCATATATCTGAAGAGAAATAATATATCTCAATATACCATTATTAGCTCACCTGGCCCGAAGGGTCAAGTGAGCTTTTCTCATCACTTGGCGTCTGTCGTCGTTAGCTTTTTACAAAAATCTTCTCCTCTGAAACCACTGGGCCAAATTAAACCAAACTTGGCCACAATCATCATTAGGGTATCTAGTTTAAAAAATGTGTCCGATGACCCCGCCAACCAACCAAGATGGCCACCATGGCTAAAAATAGAACATAGGGGTAAAATGTAGATTTTGGCTTATATCTCTGAAACCAAAGCATTTAGAGTAAATCTGACATAGGGTAAAACTGATTATCAGGTCAAGATCTATCTGATTTTAAATTTTCAGACAAATTTGACAAACATGTTGTTGGGTTGCTGCCCCTGAATTGGTAATTTTAAGGAAATTTTGCAGTTTTTGGTTATTATCTTGAATATTATTATAGATAGAGATAAACTGTAAACAGCAATAATGTTCAGCAAAGTAAGATCTACAAATAAGTTGTCATGACCAAAATTGTCAGTCGACCCCTTTAGGAGTTATTGCCCTTAATAGTAAATTTTTAACAATTTTTTGTAAATTTTTGTAATCTTTTACAAAAATCTTCTCTGAAACTACTGAGACAAATTTAACCATACTTGGCCATAATCATTATTAGGGTATCTAGTTTAAAAAATTTGTCCGATGACCCCGCCTTCCAACCATCATGGCCGACTTGGTTAAAAATAGAACATAGGGGTAAAATGCAGTTTTTGGTTTATATCTCTGAAACTAAAGCATTTAGAGCAAATCTGACAGGTGGCAAAAATGTTCATCAGATTTAGATTTATCTGCCCTGAAATTTTCAGACAAATTTGACAACCCGTTGTTGGGTTGCTGCCCCTGAGTTAGTAATTTTACAAAAATTTTGCAGTTTTTTGTTATAATCTTAGATATTATTATAATATCTAATATCTAATACTATTAATTATGATTTTAACCTTATTTTACATGATTTCCAAAGCATCAGTAAATACAGGTGAGCGACACAGGCTCTTGAGAGCCTCTAGTTTTTTATCTAAATCAATTTATTAAAACAAAATGAGAAAAGTATCAAATTTAGATTATTTTTTCAACTTTTCAGTCTTTTGCAATTAAACAATAATGACAGAACTCAGCTGATAAAATTTTGATACATCTTTGGACTCACCAGATCAGAGAATATATAATTTGAGTCCAAATCACTATAAAAAGAGAAAGTAATCTAAATCATAATACAGTATAAAATCATCAACTATTAAAAATAAATTAAAATTATATTTAATATTATGTAGTGCTTTGCCTTTGTATTCAGTGCTGCTATAGACTTGATATTTAATACATACATTGTAGCTTATTTTTTTGTGCTAGGATAATTTGAACTCAATTTCATTATTCAGTAAGAACTTAACAGTTTATCAGTGTATACAATACACTATATACCCGAAACGAAAGCTGATTTTTTTATCAGCTATAGTTAGAGGAGGGGATAAGGTGTCTGCCCAATGCTAAGCCATGTTGTCGTAGATGTGAGAAGTGAAAAGTACAGGTTCCAGCCCCGCTCGGGGAGGAAGTAAAGATCAGATCTACTCTAACATTGTTAGGTTGATATTTTAGGCACTTTAATTATACATATTTGGCATATGACAAATAATAAATGTATTGATAATATATATAAATGATAATTGTAAGTTGTAACAGTGGGTTTGGATATATTCCCAGTTTATTATACGACCGCAAAAAAATTTTGTGGTCGTATATTGGTATGACGTTGGCGTCGTCGTCGTCCGGCGTAGTCGTCCGAAGACGCATTGGTTTTCGCACTCTAACTTTAGTTTAAGTGAATGGATCTCTATGAAATTTTACCATAAGGTTCAATACCACAAAAGGAAGGTTGGGATTGATTTTGGGGGTTATGGTACCAACAGTTAAGGAATTAGGGGCCAAAAAGGGGCCAAAAATAAGCATTTTTGTAACTTCCAGACATAACTTGTGTGTTAGTGTATGGATCTCTCTGCGTTGTACCACAAGGTTCCATATCACAAAGGGAATGCTGGGATTGATTTTTGGGGTAATTGCCTCAAAATTTTAGAAATTAGGGGCCAAAAAAGGGACAAAAAACAAGCATTTTTATATGGACAAATACTTTAGTACAAAACATAATTTAAAGCAGTGTAAGGGAGATAAATCAAATACATCATTTGTATTACCTCCCTTACACTGCTTTTAAATTATGTATAAAGTAATGGTTAATGAACAATTAAGACAATTTAAAACAGTGTAAGGGAGGTAATCCACAAACAACGTTTTGATTACTTCCCTTACACTGCTTTTAAATTATGTTTAAAGAAATGCATATTTATAAAGGAAGAACAGTAAAAATATCTGCAAATGTTGCATCTTTTTTATTTTACAAAAAAATCCATATGAAAGATTTGACACCATATTTTAAATTCTATTATAAAATAGATTAAGTTAGCACTATGGTAAATTTAAATGGGTAATTATGGTTGCAAATTCCATTGGAAATTTGAATTGAGATTATGACCATATCTTGAGGGAAAGAACTTTTTGGGGGAAAAGGGGGGGGGGGGGGTAAAAAGAAATTGTGAGGGGTCAATTTTTTCTCATTTCAGATTTCAGAAATTAAAAAGAATTATTCTTCAAATATAATTTTTTTTTTCAAATTTCAAGAAGTAATCTTTAATTGCACAGTATGGCGCATTAGATTTGTAAAATCTTTGACCACATTTATTTATTTGTTATGCCAAATCTGACCGTGTATTTAGATTTAGAATTTTGATTTCGGGCCCAGTCTTCAAGTTGGTCCAAATTGGGGTTCTAAATTAAACTTTGTTTGATTTCAACAAAAATTGAATATATGGGGTTCTTTGATATGCTGAATCTAACCATGTATTTAGATTTTTTATTTGTGGGCCCAGCTATCAAATTGGTTCATATTGAGGTCAAAAGGGTCCAAAATTAAACTTTGTTTTATTTCATCAAAAATTGAATTATTGGGGTTCTTTGATATGCCAAATCTAACTGTGTATTTAGATTTTTAATTTTAAGTCCAGTTTTCAAATTGGTCTACATTAACGTCCAAAGGGTCCAAAATTAAACTTAGTTTGATTTTAACAAAAATTGAATATATGGGGTTCTTTGATATGCTGAATCTAAACATGTATTTAGATTTTTTATTTCGGGCCCAGTTTTCAAGTTGGTTCAAATTGGGGTCCAAAATTAAACTTTGTTTGATTTCAACAAAAATTGAATATATGGGGTTCTTTGATATGCTGAATCTAACCATGAATTTAGATTTTTTATTTGTGGGCCCCGCTATCAAATTGGTTCATATTGAGGTCAAAAGGGTCCAAAATAAAACTTTGTTTGATTTCATCAAAAATTGAATTATTGGGATTCTTTGATATGCCAAATCTATCTGTGTATTTAGATTTTTTATTTTGGGTCCAGTTTTCAAATTGGTCTACATTAACGTCCAAAGGGTCCAAAATTAAACTTAGTTTGATTTTAACAAAAATTGAATATATGGGGTTCTTTGATATGCTGAATCTAAACATGTGTTTAGATTTTTGATTATGGGCCCAGTTTTCAAGTTGGTCCAAGTTGGGGTCCAAAATTAAACTTTTTTTGATTTCAACAAAAATTGAATATATGGGGTTCTTTGATATGCTGAATCTAACCATGAATTTAGATATTTTATTTGTGGGCCCCGCTATCAAATTGGTTCATATTGAGGTCAAAAGGGTCCAAAATTAAACTTTGTTTGATTTCATCAAAAATTGAATTATTGGGATTCTTTAATGTGCCAAATCTATCCGTGTATTTAGATTTTTTATTTTGGGTCCAGTTTTCAAATTGGTCTACATTAACGTCCAAAGGGTCCAAAATTAAACTTAGTTTGATTTTAACAAAAATTGAATATATGGGGTTCTTTGATATGCTGAATCTAAACATGTGTTTAGATTTTTGATTATGGGCCCAGTTTTCAAGTTGGTCCAAGTTGGGGTCCAAAATTAAACTTTTTTTGATTTCAACAAAAATTGAATATATGGGGTTCTTTGATATGCTGAATCTAACCATGAATTTAGATTTTTTATTTGTGGGCCCCGCTATCAAATTGGTTCATATTGAGGTCAAAAGGGTCCAAAATTAAACTTTGTTTGATTTCATCAAAAATTGAATTATTGGGGTTCTTTGATATTCCAAATCTAACCGTGTATTTAGATTTTTAATTTTATATCCCGTTTTTTAAATTGGTCTACATTAAGGTCCAAAGGGTCCAAAATTAAACTTAGTTTGATTTTAGCAAAAATTGAATTCTTGGGGTTCTTTGATATGCTGAATCTAAACATGTGTTTAGATTTTTGATTATGGGCCCAGTTTTCAAGTTTGTCCAAGTTGGGGTCCAAAATTAAACTTTGTTTGATTTCAACAAAAATTGAATATATGGGATTCTTTGATACATTTTGTATGCTGAATCTAACCATGTAATTTTATTTTGGACATTGGACCATAATAGGTAAATTAAAAAAATTCAAGTTCTTAGACCACATTCTTTCTGTGTCAGAAACCTATGCTGTGTCAAATATTTAATAACAATCCAAATTCAGAGCTGTATCAAGCTTGAATGTTGTGTCCATACTTGCCCCAACTGTTCAGGGTTCGACCTCTGCGGTCGTATCAAGCTGCGCCCCAGCGAAGCATTTTATTATAACTAGTATGTAGAAATTAAGGTACTCCAATTTTAATAACCAATTATATATTCGACTCCTTTAGCTTGGCATTTGCAGTCAGATTACATCAGACTTTGTAATGAGAATGTATACAAATGTAATGATGTAGATAACAGATAAGTTAACTTACTTCATGTATATTATTATTGTTTTGATAGGCTATTTAGTGATTGGATTGTGGGCTATGATGCTGTTAATGAGTGTTTTGTACGATATACCTGAACTCAACATTGGATTCCATTTCTATATGAAGTCTGACAAGGATGAGGATGAAGAGCGAACAGCACTGAAAAGTTCTATAGAAAAGACTGGTACTAAATATACCAAACATGTGGATGAAGAGCAACCAACAGGAGTACAGGCTGAAACAAATGAAAGGAGTACGGAGCAGTAGAAGTTTTGTAGTAAAGTTTAAGATTGTTGTGTATTAACTTAATACATAGAATTAAGTTAAGTTAAAATAGGAGAATTCTACAAAAAGATAGTTCATATAATATGATTTGTTAAGTCATTATTGATAAGTTTATAGATTTTATTCCAGCAGCCTTGTTTCCCATAAATATATATATATATGGTCAATATGCGCAATTCATTCAGGTAGGTGGTAATGATAGCATTCTCTTCAATTCCTCTGTCCATATGATCTATGGTAAACTTGGGTATGTATGATGGCTTGTTTCAAAGCTGAGACATTTTCACATATGTGGTTAAATTTCTGAGGTTTGAACTCTAAAGTGAGATTAAATTTTCATTTTTTTCATACCCTAAATAAAGCCCTTTTTGATGCAGCTTCTCAAGGTAAAAAATCCCTACTTTTAATACAAAAAATCCTTTTCAGAAATTCAGTTCTTTGCATACATTTTTGAATAACGCCTTACTTTCACACTTTTATTCTATGGTCCTCTGCTCTTGAAATCAGCATAAATGGTTAAGCTCAGTCACTTGTTAAAAAATTGCAACATGTCCAATATCCCTGCACAGAGATTTTTTGTTTACACATTATATTTGAGTACCTGAATTTGAGGAGCATTAGCTATATAGGGATATTGATTCATATGTGTAGATATGTTGTCTAATGTTTTAAAACCACATATTCCAACATCAAAGTTATTTAACATTTTCTGTATATAAAGTTTTTTCTTTTTTTATTCAGTAAAAATTGTGTCTTACTCTCATAGGGAAAAGTTATGTACTATTGCAAATATTTCAAAACTTTGTATATCTTAATAAGACAATTAAAGAAATTCAAAATTTCTAGTTAATATCTCTTTCTGTTCCATAAATATAGACTTTATAAAAGACATAGAATATAATGGAGGAATCTGACTCTGTACCTAGGAATGTGCCATGTCATCTTCAGCAGCTGGTGTTCCAAATTTTTGCAATTTAAAAAAAAAAATAGTATGTGTGTGAAAATTTGCACAGATGTGAACAAATAGTTTGTGTTTGGAATAATAGAAATGAATTTGCTATTTTTATTGAGATATTCACATAAAAGCAATTTCAATGATGTCAATGTTTGGTAATTCACAAAATGAAATGTCAATTCACTAAATATGACTTACATTGGAAATTTTCCCAACAGAATTTAATTTTTCTGACCAATACTAATAGATCCAAAGTAATCCTATTGAAAGTTGTACATGTATGTCCTTGAGTATCCCAGAAGTAAGCTTAAATTAAAATTAATCTTCTTTTGGTGAGATACTTTAATGATTCATTACCAAGTTCAAACATGCAATAGAGAAGATTTAGCATCTTTGAACGAAATTTGGGAATAATATTTATACTGGTAATTGGAAAATTTTATATGGATGTATTAAGATTTTCTTCAACCAGATGTTATTGATAAAATCATCTTTTCCTTGTATCACAAATCATTAGACACTCCTGTAGTAATCATGCTGTATTTTATATCAAGAAACAGTACATTTATGTAGCTTCTGTTAGCATGGTAAGTATTTACTTTTATTTAAGAAGAGACGATACTGTAAATTTCGATATATATATAATATTCGTCCATTTTTTCTTTATGCATTTATATTTGTGTATCTTTATCATGTCAATTTATTTACAAAATGTATAGACTTAGCATAATTATGTATACATAATGCTAATGCTGGTGCTTTTTTTTATTTCAGTTGTGCAATGATATTATGTTTACTTCTTGCCTTATCATAATGTTTTGAGAAACTCGCTTTCATTCTTTTCATTTTGTTAATTTTTATTTATTTATTTAATCATGTTTGATATGCAGAATCAAAAATTTACCTCTTCACAAGGAAAAGAATATTTTGCTTAAACCCAAACAAATTTTATGCAAACTTTTACCAGCCATGATAACTTTATGTAAAAATGTTTTCATTACAGAATGAGAGAGGGTTGCATTACTTATAAACACTAATTTTATGTTTAAGTTTAAAGGTTAGTGATGTTATTTTGTGATTTTAAATTATAAACAAATTCCATACACATACAGGTTGTGAAATATATATATGTATCTCCTCAGTCATCTTCTGTGACTTTTGATTTTAATGAAATAAGATTTTTAAGATTATATAAAATATGAATTATTTCTGATAGACCAAGCCATATTTTTATTTGTTTTGAGTACCATTCATATTTTTTCCCTGTGAGTTCAGAATTACAGTTTTATACTTAAAATATGTTTTTTAAAATTTTCAAAACAGGTCAGATTAGATTTTTTTTTAAAAATCTGATTTGTAGATTTACATAAATGTAAGAAACCTTGTCTCTAGACATCAGGTTTTGCTTGTTTTCTGAATTTTTGCTCTTTTCGTACTTTTGTATTTTCAGTTATATAGATATATATATAATGTATATGAATCAAAGGCCAGTGATAACACATCTCTCTCTTTTACTTGCCACAACTCCAACATGCATTGTAAATGATTGTCTTTAATCATCAACCTCCTTTATAAAAGGTAATTGTACCACATCTCCTTATTTTTATATAGTTTCACAGTTTACACAATATAGCTATTAACCAATAATTCAAGCTATTTCTGGCATGATTTATGAAGTGTTTAAAATCACTGTCACAGGATCTAAATCAAAAATCATTTTAAAATGTGATATTTTTTCTTTGCATTTATTTATACTCTTATTTTTTTAGCTCACTTGGACTAAAAGGTCATATGAGCTTTTTTCATCACTTGGCTTCCTTTGTCAGTTAACTTTGAAATAAATCTTCTCTGAAACTACTGTGGAGTTAAATGAATGAGGAATCCAATCATGTATTAATTAAAAAAAGTTTTCCTCAGCTGTACTTTATATATATAGCTTCTTTAGTAAACATTATTAACTGCAACCACTAGAATCATGAGAATTAGAGCATGTATAATAAAAAGTTTCATTTACCTCTATTGTATAGCTTTACTATTTCTATGATGATTTGATGATGCTGCAATACTTGACATTTTAATTTATTTATAAAGTTTAGATTAAAATGTTCATCATAATAATTTATATTATTTAAAAGTAAATGTGTCAAAATTTTTCCTTGTTTTAAGTAGCATAGTTGTGTCTTTATTCATAAGGTATTATAGAACAAATTTACTGAGTATTTTTTTCTATGTGAAAATATTTGAACAAATGACTGATCATTTGAATTCCTTGCTTGTCTGTGATGTGTATCCACATAATGAACTATTTTTGTGTGTGATGTAAATCCATTGTTTTAAACTTATGTTGTATACATTTATATACAATCTTATTTATTGTTATACAAAAAATATTTGTGTATTTTTTTTCTTTGTTATTTATTGTCTTTATTAAGATTATTGTCTTGTTTACTATTTCATATGCGATATATTTGAAATAACTGACTACCTAATTGAGAAGTTTATGGTATGAAAACTGTAAAAGACATCCAAGGATAGTTTATGACATAGATATTTATCATTTAAATTTTTTTTTAAATGGGCAAAAAACTCAAGATGGTTTGCATTACTTGATAAATAAAAAAGGCTTTGTGTTGAAATTGGTAGGTGGAATTCATTTAATACACAAAAATTGCCATTTTCTCCTGCCTGTCCACTTGACATTTGCCATACTAAAACCCAAATTAATCATAGTTCAACCTGCAAAAAAACAGCAACAAATTATGCCTTAGTATTTTAATCATTTGATCTAAATCAATTAAAAAATAGTGATTAGGCTACCAATTTGTTTTACCTGTGGTATTTGTCCAATGCATTAATGTAAGCCACAGGACCACTGAAGAAGGGTAGGGTATTAACTTTATATATAATAAAAGACAAACAGAAAAGTACTGTACTACTGAAAGTGTGATATGAGAAGTACTTTTTAATGTTAATAACTGAAAATGCAAATCATAATAAATAACTGAAAATACAAACAATAAATACAATAAGCTTTAGGGCAGTTATTGACTTATTTTAAAGTGGAAACCAATCTACCAGATTATAATATGACTCTATTCAAAACAAGTATTTGATTCTCATGGTGTAAGTCAAAACATCCGTGGGAGGGTATCTAACTAATCTGATTTTATCTGGAATTTTGGCTCAGGATGTCCCAATACAGAACCAAACATTTGACTAACAAAAGGGAGGGAGCTTTTGACTCATTCTATTTTAATCAGTTATGGATATTTTCTATGGTATAAAACTACACTGATACATTTGTTTTGAGATGACAAAATATTGAACATTTATTTATTTTCTTTAACATGTTGTGACTCATTAATTGTTATACAGATGTTTGTACTGCTGTTAGATCAATAAAGCAAATTTAAAGTTGCGATTAGTTTGTGTTTAAAAATTTATTTATTGTTCTCTGATGAAGATCAAACAACATGAGGCTCCATCTGTAAATATATAGAAAATTGGAATATTTTTTATGTAGTCATATTTTGTTTTATTTGGCGGCTAAGATGAAGGTGGCAAAATTTAATATATATTTAAATTTACTTTAAATGAGAAAGAAACCAATTACACTTATTAAATAATCAGTATCATCAACACATTTAAAAAAAAGAGGGGAAGATACCAAAGAGAGATTCAAAATAAATAAGTCGAAGTGAAACCAAGGATACCATTGCAAAAAAAGATAAAAAAAACAAACAGGAATAAATATAAGAACAGCGAACAAATTTCATTACACCAAAATTAAAATACAGTACTGGCACAAAGACCAAAATTTAACTACTGCTGTTTTGGGAAGAATAAAAAACTGCCAAAATATCTCTACACCAAGATTCCCATTTTACAATATCACAAATAAACAATAAAGATTACCGGTAATGTTAAAAGGATGATATGACTTTAAATTCATGGCTGAATGATCTTGATTTTAGGAATTGGTAAATACAAAGGTTAAATTAAAAGCTTAAGGTAGGTTGATGCGAAGTATATGTGACATAAGCAAGAAATCTTATCAATGAATAGATCAAGTAATTAGTATATTAAAAATCTTTGTTCCAGAATTTCCACAAATGATGCCACATATTTCAAGGGGCATTATCCCCGGCTTAGTATATTTCTAGGATTTTGATGGTTAACGCACATCGTTACAAAACCCATAGCCCCTGGGTGTTGCTAACCCATATACCCGGACGTTGCTATCCATTACCCCGGTGGATGTCATGCGCGTTTTCCTTAGTTCCATGGATGTTCCTTGTGAAGAATTCTGTAGAATATCCATGATGTCTGTAATTAAATATTTAATCAACTATCGATTTTATCTTATTATGTCGATCATTTGCACTCATTTTAGTAAACGCATCACTTGGCTGCCACATTGTCAATGAATGGGACTACTGACCTAGCTATGCAAATGACTCACGTTGGCGTCACATCGTCTATGATGTAACTATCACAACATTGAGCGCCAAATTAGACCCATTCCAGTTTCTCTGTCTCTGGATAAAAAACGTCTTATATTTGACTACCTGTAGTATCCTACACCCCGTAAAAAATATGTCGAATTCCCAAATTTCAATACAAGATTTTTATAAAATGAAAAAAACGTTGCTTTCACGTTACACTTTTTGGTCAAATTTCTCTAAAAAATCGCCAGATTTGGACTAAGACCGGGGATAAATTCGTTATCTACGTTCTTATCCGTAGATATGGATATTTTAACACCCTTCAGTACCCTGCACACCCTTCGGCTTCGCCTCAGGATGTACTTGGATACTTCAGGGTGTTAAAATATCCATATCTACGATTATTAACGTAGATTATAACTTATATTAGCTACGAGATAATGAAAGTGAAATAGTGAAATAATAATTCGCTTGTCACATCCAGTTTGGTTCAGTTTTGTCAAATTAAGCAAAGAAAGATCGCTAATGAATTATTCACTTGCAAGGGATTAATTCAACCTCATTGAATCCGTATTCATGTGAACTTTAATTGATCCCTATAGCTAGAGATGGGTTACGCATGAACTAGGCGTGTTCAGTTATTAAACGTAAAAGAATGTAAACATTGAAAGTGAAACAAGGGTAAACCATTTGGTTGACTGGTTCGATCTCAAAAAACTCATTCTTATACAGGTAAAAACCATTAGGGAACGACCATTTAACTTCAAGGGGGGGTATGGTTTTTTCCTAAAAAAATATTGTGGTCAAGCAGATGACAAAAAAAAATATTCTGAATTCAGAATTTCCCCATACCTTAAAGTGTTAAATTTTGAAAAAAAAATAATTTGATTGATAGCGTTGAACAACTTTAAAATATGTTTGCGAACAAATTTTTCTGACTCAGACAAAAAACCATAACCCCCCCCCCCCCCTTGAAGTTAAATGGTTGCTCCCTTAGATGGCGTCTAGACTAAAATACACACGAAATGCTGACATATACTATCGAGTCTATGAGTCTATGCATCGTAAATTGTTTATTTTAGACTTTTTATAATTTGGATATGCATTTTAGTATGTTATAAGTCGAATATAAAAATTTTGAGTCAAATCGGTGAACACTAATTTGACAATTAATGCCCCTTTAAATCTGCTGAATAAAATTCCTGTAAAAATATTGGCAGGTATACGATTTGTTTTAAGAAAGCATGATCTGATGTCATCATCCACAGACTACTAGACCAGCACTTCAACCTTTGACCATGTTCAACCTCTCATCCCAACAAGCGGCCACTTCTGTTGTTAGACACCAATTTTCAAAACAGCAAATAAAAACATTTATGTGACAGATCAACCAATTAAAAAAAAGGATGATACTTAGCTCAAAAGAAATTTACCAACCAGACTTTAGTGTATCTTTGTTTTGTTCAACAACAACAAAGACATCAACAGTTTCCAATCCTGACCTCCCAATTTTACAGTAATGACCCAATTTTCAGTATGCCAGATGTTCCAATTGAACTGTATGTAATATATCCTTTTAGTCGGCTGATAGGGCATTTTTTTAAGCTCACCTGGCCTAAAATGCCAATAACTTATTGGCTTAATCTTGTACATATATCTTGGGACTGTTAGTATAATAGTCCCAGATATATCTATTCAATATCAAGTCAAATTATTGGCTTAGTCAGAGGAGACCTAGAAGGAGAAGCCAAGGGCAGTCAAAATCCATAAGGGAGCTACCATTTGATATTTATGGGGGGCTAGGATGAAAATTTTTGTCCTGCATTTTTTTTTTTTAGTTGAAATCTCTGTCCTGCCTTTTTATTTTTCACTCTATTCGGTCCTGAATTTTTTTTTTTTATTATTTATTAGTTTATCCTGACTTTTTTTTACATAAATTGTCATCCTGTCCTTTTTTTTTGCCAAGTTGCTCATCCTGCCTTTTTTTTACTCAAAACTCCTGTCCTGCCTTTTTTTCAAATTTCATCCTAGCCCCCCCCCCCCCCCCTAAAAATCAAATGGTAGCTCCCTAAGTTGATTCATTTTTTATACGACAGCAAAAAATTTTTTGTGGTCGTATATTGGAATGACGTTGGCGTCGTCGTCGTCCGAAGACGCATTAGTTTTCGCACTCTAACTTTAGTTTAAGTGAATGGATCTCTATGAAATTTTACCATAAGGTTCAATACCACAAAAGGAAGGTGGGGATTGATTTTGGGGGTTATGGTACCAACAGTTAAGGAATAAGGGGCCTAAAAAGGGCCAAAAATAAGCATTTTCTAGTTTCCAGACAATAACTGTGGAATGGTGTATGGATCTCTCTGAAATTATACTACAAGTTTCCATACCACAAAGGGATGGTTAGGATTTGCTTTGGGGGGTTATGGCTCAAACCGTTTAAGAATTAGGGGCAAAAAAGGGGGAAAAACAAGGTTGCCCTGGTTAATGGACAAATACTTTAGTACAAAACATAATTTAAAGCAGTGTAAGGGAGATAAATCAAATACATCATTGAAATTATCTCCCTTACACTGCTTTTAAATTATGTATAAAGTAATGGTTAATGAACAATTAAGATAATTTAAAACAGTGTAAGAGAGGTAATCCAAATACAACGTTTTGGTTACTTCCCTTACACTGCTTTTAAATTATGTATAAAGAAATGCATATTTATAAAGGAAGACCAGTAAAAATATCTGCAAATGTTGCATCTTTTTTTTTTACAAAAAAATTCATATGAAAGATTTGACACTATATTTTAAATTCTATTATAAAATAGATTAAGTTAGCACTATGGTAAATTTAAATGGGTAATTATGGTTGCAAACTCCATTGGAAATTTGAATTGAGATTATGACCTATCTTGAGGGAAAGAATTTTTTGGGGGAAAAAAGGGGGGGGGGGGGGTAAAAAGAAATTGTGGGGGGTCAATTTTTTCTCATTTCAGATTTCAGAAATTAAAAAGAATTATTCTTCAAATATTATTTTTTTTTCAAATTTCAAATATTGAAAAATTTCAAGAAGTAATCTTTAATTGCACAGTATGGCGCATTAGATTTATAAAATCTTTGACCACATTTATTTATTTGTTATGCCGAATCTGACCGTGTATTTAGATTTTTAATTTTGGGTCCAGTTTTCAAATTGGTCTACATTAAGGTCCAAAGGGTCCAAAATTAAACTTTGTTTGATTTTAACAAAAATTAAATATATGGGGTTCTTTGATATGCTGAATCTAAACATGTATTTAGATTTTTGATTTTTGGCCCAGTTTTCAAGTTGGTCCAAATTGGGGTCCAAAATTAAACTTTGTTTGATTTCAACAAAAATTGAATATGTGGGGTTCTTTGATATGCTGAATCTAACCATGTATTTAGATTTTTTAGTTGTGGCCCCTGCTATCAAATTGGTTCATATTGAGGTCAAAAGGGTCCAAAATTAAACTTTGTTTGATTTCATCAAAAATTGAATTATTGGGGTTCTTTGATATGCCAAATCTAACCGTGTATTTAGATTTTTAATTTTAGGTCCCGTTTTTTAAATTGGTCTACATTAAGGTCCAAAGGGTCAAAAATTAAACTTAGTTTGATTTTAACAAAAATTGAATTATTGGGGTTCTTTGATATGCTGAATCTAAACATGTGTTTAGATTTTTGATTATGGGCCCAGTTTTCAAGTTGGTCCAAGTTGGGGTCCAAAATATACTTTGTTTGATTTCAACAAAAATTGAATATATGGGGTTCTTTGATATGCTGAATCTAAACATGTATTTAGATTTTAGATTTTTGGCCCAGTTTTCAAGTTGGTCCAAATTGGGGTCCAAAATTAAACTTTGTTTGATTTCAACAAAAATTGAATATATGGGGTTCTTTGATATGCTGAATCTTACCATGTATTTAGATTTTTTATTTGTGGGCCCGCTATCAAATTGGTT